TAACCTTAGTGACGGTTAATATCACTGTATACCTTAGAAAGATGGAAAATGATAAACCTCAATGACGGTTAATGTCACTTTATAGCTTATAAAGACGGAAAATGATAAACCTCAATGACGGTTAATATCACTTTATAGCTTATAAAGACGGAAGAAGATAAACCTTAGTGACGGTTAATATCACTGTATAGCTTATAAAGACGGAAAAAGATAAACCTCAGTGACGGTTAATGTCCGGGATTTCAGTAACAGTTAGTATCATTGTATAGCCCAGGTATCCATTAGAACATCGATCGGACAACCTTAACATTGTCTTTTGACACAGAATATTTGAGAGAAAAAGTGATAAATTACACGTTTTCAATAAAATTTGGACGTGAAAAAAATCCCATGAAAATATATTATACCAGTAGAATGCACAGTTGGTGTACGATCGAAGCTGTCAGCCATATATTATGCAGAGAACCGATAAGAAATCTTACGCGGAGTATTATAGTTCGTCAACAAAGCGAGAGATAGTGTAGCTTGTTAGTATGTGGTGTGCTAATGGAGACCTGTAAATACTTCTCTCCTCACTCCGTCAACACTCCAATAAAATCTTCAAAGGTCTGGTAATAAATTGTGGTATAAAATGCGCTACACTTTGTGTATAAATCGCTGGGTTTAGAGTATCATATTTATACTCAAGAATTGATTTTCATGTCGTAAACAAATGTTTTATTGGATACTATTTATTTTCTAGACACAAAAAAAAAAAAAAAAAAACGAAAAAAACTCCCATTTCATACAAGTAATTTTATAGAAAGTACATATATTTGGGGTGATTTGGGAGACATATTTTGAGAGTTTAAACCAAGTTTCTGAATGGAAATCTCATTGAAGGTGTACACACTTGTGACAATAGAATCGCCTGGAAATCCGGATGAAATGGTCCTCGTATACAAAACGTCGTAGCGTGTGCTATCAAATTTAACTCTCATCGTGAAACCCTACCTTTGGGTACATAAATATTATATCATGATTACGTTACGGTTTTCGACTTTGACCTTTTGACCGATCTGACCGCTAAATCTACTGACCAATAGGAGATTAGCCGCTCCGTTGGATCCAGCTCTATTACATCAGGACGGCTATCAGCACGAATTTACACCTTATTGCCTAGGACTGTATGTGTTGAAATGTACAACTGGTCGGGTACCTTACTGAAATGTCTGTGAGAGTAGCACAAGTATCATTACACAAATCCTTTGACTACACTGTCCATCAACTCACTTCAATGATGACCAAGAGATATATGTATCAAATTGATCGGCTGCTAAGCTTAATACTTTAAGTCATACCACGGAACCAGACTTTGCTACTTTGGTTCTACATAAGATCAATCCACACATTTATTGTAACGACACATTTTTCATTTTATGACACAAAGCGAAAAAGGATGATGCAAACTCTCACGGACTTTAAATGTAACACAAAACCGTGAAAATAGAAAATGTACAATATTTACTAAAAGTTAAACCACGGAACTAGAAACTACAATATTTACTAAACCACAGAACTAGAAACTACAATATTTATTAAAAGTTAAACCACGGAACTAGAAACTACAATATTTGCTGAAAGTTAAACCACAGAACTAGAAACTGCAATATTTACTAAAAGTTAAACCACGGAACTAGAAACTACAATGTTTACTAAACCACGGAACTAGAAACTACAGTATTTGCTGAAAGTTAAACCACGGAACTAGAAACTACAATGTTTACTAAAAGTTAAACCACGGAACTAGAAACTACAATGTTTACTAAAAGTTAAACCACGGAACTAGAAACTACAATGTTTACTAAAAGTTAAACCACGGAACCAGAAACTACAATGTTTACTAAAAGTTAAACCACGGAACTAGAAACTACAATATTTGCTAAAAGTTAAATCACGGAACTAGAAACTACAATGTTTACTAAAAGTTAAACCACGGAACTAGAAACTACAATATTTGCTAAAAGTTAAATCACGGAACTAGAAACTACAATGTTTACTAAAAGTTAAACCACGGAACTAGAAACTACAATGTTTACTAAACCACGGAACTAGAAACTACAATGTTTACTAAACCACGGAACTAGAAACTACAATGTTTACTAAAAGTTAAACCACGGAACCAGAAACTACAATGTTTACTAAAAGTTAAACCACGGAACTAGAAACTACAATATTTGCTAAAAGTTAAATCACGGAACCAGAAACTACAATGTTTACTAAAAGTTAAACCACGGAACTAGAAACTACAATGTTTACTAAAAGTTAAACCACGGAACTAGAAACTACAATGTTTACTAAACCACGGAACTAGAAACTACAATGTTTACTAAACCACGGAACTAGAAACTACAATGTTTACTAAACCACGGAACTAGAAACTACAATGTTTACTAAAAGTTAAATCACGGAACTAGAAACTACCATGTTTACTAAAAGTTAAACCACGGAACTAGAAACTACAATGTTTACTAAACCACGGAACTAGAAACTACAATGTTTACTAAAAGTTAAACCACGGAACCAGAAACTACAATGTTTACTAAAAGTTAAACCACGGAACTAGAAACTACAATATTTGCTTAAAGTTAAATCACGGAACTAGAAACTACAGTATTTGCTGAATGTTAAACCGCGGAACTAGAAACTACAATGATTACTAAAAGTTAAACCACGGAACTAGAAACTACAGTATTTGCTGAATGTTAAACCGCGGAACTAGAAACTACAGTATTTGCTGAATGTTAAACCGCGGAACTAGAAACTACAATGTTTACTAAAAGTTAAATCACGGAACTAGAAACTACAGTATTTGCTGAATGTTAAACCGCGGAACTAGAAACTACAATGTTTACTAAAAGTTAAATCACGGAACTAGAAACTACAGTATTTGCTGAATGTTAAACCGCGGAACTAGAAACTACAATGTTTACTAAAAGTTAAACCACGGAACTAGAAACTACGATATTTACTAAAAGTAACACAAACCACGGAATTAGAAATTGTACAATATTTACCAAAAAGTTACAGAAAACCACGGAACTAGAAAATGTACAGTGTAACCATGGAAATAAAACACATCCCCACCTGACTTTCCTTTTTTTATTGCTTACATAGGTGTCTGATGAAACCTTAACCGTGAACACACGGGGTACGTGTGTGACGTGTGTAGATACAATCTTATGTGTGCACACGGGGTACGTGTGTGACGTGTGTAGATACAATCTTATGTGTGCATTTATCGCTGTGATTTTGTACACGTGTATGTTGCGCTTTTAATGAGGTATACGTAAGAAATATGGACCTGCGTTGTCCCGTTGTTATCAGCTAATTACCACTCCCAGGTTGTTCACCTGGACCAAATTAAGCTAATACTTTTACCGTGGTGACACGTGTTAAACAAAACCAAATCACACATAAGACTTACGTTCTCCGTCCCGATGCGAGGCAATAAAATAATGGAAATTGTCTACGGTAAGATAAAGAACAACGGAGGTGTACTGTAAAGGGCCAGAAATTCTGACAAAAAGTATAGTGACCTTGTATCTGATCAATATTTTGAGTAAATGAAAAATCTTTAATCATCACCAAGGTTGGAATAAAGTCACGATCTTAATTGAAAACGAAATCAATACAGGAGACATTGTCTATATTAGCATAAAAACACACCCTTTCGAGCTTTTGGTAAAATCGCCTAGAATTAAAAGAAGAAAAAAAAGAGTTTATTTTTTTGCCAGCAAACAACAAAATGGTTCTACTTATTGGTTTTAATAATTACTTGTACAAATAATTCACTATCATACAACATTGTACAGAAACACCTAATTAAACACTGCATATCATAATCACGACAGCAAAGAGGGATGAAGATGTTTGCTGTCAGCTGTAATTTGTACTATATTCCAGATTAGAAAAAGTCCCCCGTTTGTAGTTAGACACTATCGGCCTCTGTCATCTTGTTCGCGTATTAACAGTCACCCCATCGTGTAATCTACCGCCATGTCCATATATGTAAATGAGCACATCTACATACATACCTTTGTCAGGTTACAGCGCACCTACCTCCTACCTGTTGTCCAAAGGATGAAGAGGTGGATCAGATTTCTCTTTTTATCAAAATTTTATTCATAGATGTCCCTCTAGTTATTCAGCTATTATATTTCTCGGATAACGAGGTCAACAACGCTAGAGTTACGATTTGTTTACAAAAAATGCAGACATTCAGAAATAGTCTTAATCCACATTGAGGCATGTATAAGATATTTCCCGATCTACGCGGTCGTGCCGGAGAGCACTATTTATTTTTTCAACTGCGACATCAAAGTGCATCAAAACAGATTTTTTTAACTTAATTTTCTAACTGGGTACTGATGTTAGAGAATGAAGTGTTACTAAGGATACTGATGTGAGAGAATAAAGTGTTAATAAGGATACTGATGTGAGATGATGAATTGTCCCTTTCTTTACCTAACATAAACATTATTTACAAATTTTAAAATGCCAGTATACATATATATGTTAATTATGTATAATGAATAGACTTATATCAACATATGCACTATCATCTCCTACTACAACATCCTGATAGACAATCAAACCATCATTGATGACGTCATATTGTGTTACCACAAAGACAACATTGTAGGCCTACTGAGGTAGCAAAACTAACCATAAAGCTGAGGAAGATTTAATATGAAAGAGATTACGATGTACTGATCAGATGTCTTTTATAAATGTATAAATTTAAAGAAAGAAGACTACATTTTACACATGTTACAAAACTGTATACTGTTACAATGCACCTGTTTTCCGTTGTAAACTTCAATAATAAATATATACTTTGTATCAGATCTAGTCAGAACAAGACACAATACAAATGTCCTTGTTGACTCTTTCATCCCCTCACTATAAGTACATAAATACATGTATGATAACTTGGTTTTCCAGGTTGCCATGACAATATGTTGAGACTGCTGGTCTATTCTCTGAGTGTTTACCTGGCCACAGCCCAAATACTAGGTAAGCTGTAATAATGTTGTGTTACTGTGATACTGAACTGTCAACTGAGAATTTTCATAGAGGTTGAAGTTTAAGTGATTGATAGGACTATTTATTGATATAGGACTAGTTATTGATATAGGACTATTTACTGATATATAGGACTATTTACTGATATATAGGACTATTTATTGATATAGGACTATTTATTGATATAGGACTATTTACTGATATATAGGACTATTTACTATTTACTGATATATAGGACTATTTATTGATATATATTTATTGATATAGGACTATTTATTGATATATAGGACTATTTATTGATATATATTTATTGGACTATTTACTGATATATAGGACTATTTATTGATATAGGACTATTTATTGATATAGGACTATTTACTGATATATAGGACTATTTATTGATATAGGACTATTTATTGATATATAGGACTATTTATTGATATATAGGACTATTTATTGATATATAGGACTATTTACTGATATATAGGACTATTTATTGATATAGGACTATTTACTGATATATAGGACTATTTACTGATATATAGGACTATTTATTGATATAGGACTATTTATTGATATAGGACTATTTACTGATATATAGGACTATTTATTATATAGGACTATTTATTGATATAGGACTATTTATTATATAGGACTATTTACTGATATATAGGACTATTTACTGAGATATAGGACTATTTATTGATATAGGACTATTTATTGATATAGGACTATTTATTGATATAGGACTATTTATTGATATAGGACTATTTATTGATATAGGACTATTTACTGATATATAGGACTATTTATTGATATAGGACTATTTATTGATATAGGACTATACTGATATATAGGACTATTTATTGATATATAGGACTATTTATTGATATAGGACTATTTATTGATATAGGACTATTTACTGATATATAGGACTATTTATTGATATATAGGACTATTTATTGATATATATTTACTGATATATAGGACTATTTATATGATATAGGACTATTTATTGATATATAGGACTATTTATTGATATAGAACTATTTACTGATATATAGGACTATTTATTGATATAGGACTATTTATTGATATATAGGACTATTTATTGATATAGGACTATTTATTGATATATAGGACTATTTATTGATATAGGACTATTTATTGATATATAGGACTATTTATTGATATAGGACTATTTATATATATAGGACTATTTATTGATATAGGACTATTTATTGATATATAGGACTATTTATTGATATAGGACTGATATATAGGACTATTTACTGATATATAGGACTATTTATTGATATAGGACTATTTATTGATATATAGGACTATTTATTGATATAGGACTATTTATTATATATATTTATTGATATATAGGACTATTTACTGATATATAGGACTATTTATTGATATATATTTATTGGACTATTTACTGATATATAGGACTATTTATTGATATAGGACTATTTATTGATATATAGGACTATTTATTGATATAGATATATATAGGACTATTTATTGATATAGGACTATTTATTGATATAGGACTATTTACTGATATATAGGACTATTTACTGATATATAGGACTATTTATTGATATAGGACTATTTATTGATATATAGGACTATTTATTGATATATAGGACTATTTATTATATAGATATATAGGACTATTTATTGATATAGGACTATTTACTGATATATAGGACTATTTATTGATATAGGACTATTTATTGATATAGGACTATTTACTGATATATAGGACTATTTATTATATAGGATATATAGGACTATTTATTGATATAGGACTATTTACTGATATATAGGACTATTTATTGATATATAGGACTATTTATTGATATAGGACTATTTATTGATATAGGACTATTTACTGATATATAGGACTATTTATTGATATAGGACTATTTACTTATATAGATATAGGACTATTTATTGATATATAGGACTATTTACTGATATATAGGACTATTTATATAGATATATATAGGACTATTTACTGATATATAGATATATATAGGACTATTTATTGATATAGGACTATTTACTGATATATAGGACTATTTATTGATATATAGGACTATTTACTGATATATAGGACTATTTATTGATATAGGACTATTTACTGATATATAGGACTATTTATTGATATAGGACTATTTACTGATATATAGGACTATTTACTGATATATAGGACTATTTATTGATATAGGACTATTTACTGATATACTATTTACTGATATATAGGACTATTTATATAGGACTTGATATATAGGACTATTTACTGATATATAGGACTATATATATATAGGACTATTTATTGATATAGATATATAGGACTATTTATTATAGGACTATTTACGATATAGGACTATTTATTGATATAGGACTATTTACTGATATATAGGACTATTTATTGATATAGGACTATTTACTGATATATATTTATTGATATAGGACTATTTACTGATATATAGGACTATTTATTGATATAGGACTATTTACTATATAGATATATAGGACTATTTATTGATATAGGACTATTTACTGATATATAGGACTATTTACAGAGATATATAGGACTATTTACTGATATAGGACTATTTACTGATATATACAGGACTATTTATTGATATATAGGACTATTTACAGAGATATAGGACTATTTACTGAGATATAGGACTATTTACTGATATATAGGACTATTTACAGAGATATAGGACTATTTACTGAGATATAGGACTATTTACTGAGATATAGGACTATTTACAGAGATATAGGACTATTTACAGAGATATAGGACTATTTACTGATATACAGGACTATTTACAGAGATATAGGACTATTTACTGAGATATAGGACTATTTACAGAGATATAGGACTATTTACTGAGATATAGGACTATTTACAGAGATATAGGACTATTTACTGATATATAGGACTATTTACTGAGATATAGGACTATTTACTGAAATAGGACTATTTACTGATATATAGGACTATTTACTGAGATATAGGACTATTTACAGAGATATAGGACTATTTACTGATATATAGGACTATTTACTATTTACAGAGATATAGGACTATTTACTGAAATAGGACTATTTACAGAGATATAGGACTATTTACTGAAATAGGACTATTTACAGAGATATAGGACTATTTACAGATATATAGGATTATTTGTATGCCATACCTTTGCACTATAATCTTTCATCTGTATATCATGATATGACATCTGTATGCTATGATATGACATCTGTATGCTATGATGTGACATCTGTATGCTATGATGTGACATCTGTATGCTATGATGTGACATCTGTATATCATGATGTGACATCTGTATGCTATGATGTGACATCTGTATGCTATGATGTGACATCTGTATATCATGATGTGACATCTGTATGCTATGATGTGACATCTGTATGCTATGATGTGACCTCTGTATGCTATGATGTGACATCTGTATGCTATGATATGACATCTGTATGCTATGATGTGACATCTGTATGCTATGATGTGACATCTGTATGCCATGATGTGACATCTGTATGCCATGATGTGACATCTGTATGCTATGATGTGACATCTGTATGCCATGATGTGACATCTGTATGCTATGATGTGACATCTGTATGCTATGATGTGACATCTGTATGCTATGATGTGACAGCTGTATGTTATGACATTATACTTGTTTTTTATAATGTCACTCCAGTAAATTTGTTTCACCTGTAAGTAAACAATGACTTAACTTTGTTTGTAGATTGTCCTTTAGAATGGGTACGAGATGACCTAGGTCAGAGATGCTATAAGTTTATGTTTGACCAGCAGAGTTATGAGCAGGCCACCATGTTATGTGCGGTAAGTTGTTTCTTGTCAGACGTTTGGACATTATTTAGAAATGTGATACCTTAGACAAACTTAACTCTTGATTAGGAATAAACATACGAGTATAGAGCGAAGATTTTGAAATGCTTCAGTAAATGGTATTGCGAATTTTGAAAATAACTAGGACCCATGCAATGAAAAATGTCTCTTAAGCAAATATGCTCCAAAGAAATAAAAAAACAATATATAAAATCAACAAAACAGAAAGTCAGATACTACTATATTTCACCAGTATGACTAAGATTTTGGCATTTTCTTGCTCTTTCCTTAAACAGTTTCAAGCAACTAAATATTGAAGGTTATAAATGTGGAGGAAAAAAGAATTGTACTTAAAAATTTAAATATTTTTTTTATCAAAATCCAATTAGCTGAATGTGGCACTTGTAAAATAATAGATAAAGACATCAAAACATCAACGTTGTTACAGGAAATGGGGTCACATCTGGTCACGGTCAACAACGCCAACGAATATACCTTCATCAATAACTACCTACAAACCAATGATGGAGCCAGGTAAACAAACATATGTTATAGGTTCTTCTAATAATCAAACAGATGAAATTATTCTTTATTGTGTCCCTGGTCAGTAACTGTATCCCTGGTCAGTAACTGTATCGCTGGTCAGTAACTGTATCCCTGGTCAGTAACTGTATCGCTGGTCAGTAACTGTATCCCTGGTCAGTAACTGTATCCCTGGTCAGTAACTGTGTCCCTGGTCAGTAACTGTATCCCTGGTCAGTAACTGTATCGATGGTCAGTAACTGTGTCCCTGGTCAGTAATTTTGTCTCTGGTCAGTAATTGTATCTCTGGTCAGTAACTGTATCCCTGGTCAGTAACTATGTCCCTGGTCAGTAACTGTGTCCCTGGTCAGTAACTGTATCGCTGGTCAGTAACTGTATCGCTGGTCAGTAACTGTGTCCCTGGTCAGTAATTGTGTCCCTGGTCAGTAACTCCCTAACTGTGTCCCTGGTCAGTAACTGTGTCCCTGGTCAGTAACTGTGTCCCTGGTCAGTAACTGTATCCCTGGTCAGTAACTGTATCCCTGGTCAGTAACTGTGTCCCTGGTCAGTAATTGAGTCCCTGGTCAGTAACTTTGTCTCTGGTCAGTAATTGTATCTCTGGTCAGTAACTGTATCCCTGGTCAGTAACTGTGTCCCTGGTCAGTAACTGAGTCCCTGGTCAGTAACTGTGTCCCTGGTCAGTAACTGTATCCCTGGTCAGCAACTATGTCCCTGGTCAGTAACTGTGTCCCTGGTCAGTGTCCCTGGTCAGTAACTGTGTCCCTGGTCAGTAACTGAGTCCCTGGTCAGTAACTATGTCCCTGGTCAGTAACTGTGTCCCTGGTCAGTGTCCCTGGTCAGTAATTGAGTCCCTGGTCAGTAACTGTATCCCTGGTCAGTAACTCTGTCCCTGGTCAGTAACTGTGTCCCTGGTCAGTAATTGTATCCCTAGTCAGTAACTGTGTCCCTGGTCAGTAAGTGTATCCCTGGTCAGTAACTGAGTCCCTGGTCAGTAACTATGTCCCTGGTCAGTAACTGTGTCCCTGGTCAGTAACTATGTCCCTGGTCAGTAACTGAGTCCCTGGTCAGTAACTGTATCCCTGGTCAGTAACGGTTTCCCTGGTCAGTAATTGAGTCCCTGGTCAGTAACGGTATCCCTGGTCAGTAATTGAGTCCCTGGTCAGTAACTGTGTCCCTGGTCAGTAACTGTATCCCTGGTCAGTAACTGTGTCCCTGGTCAGTAACTGTGTCCCTGGTCAGTAACTCTGTCCCTGGTCAGTAACTGTGTCCCTGGTCAGTAATTGTATCCCTAGTCAGTAACTGTGTCCCTGGTCAGTAAGTGTATCCCTGGTCAGTAACTGAGTCCCTGGTCAGTAACTGTGTCCCTGGTCAGTAATTGTGTCCCTGGTCAGTAACTGTGTCCCTGGTCAGTAATTGTATCCCTGGTCAGTAACTGTATCCCTGGTCAGTAACTGTATCTGGTCAGTAACGGTATCCCTGGTCAGTAATTGAGTCCCTGGTCAGTAACTGTGTCCCTGGTCAGTAATTGTATCCCTGGTCAGTAACTGTATCCCTGGTCAGTAACTGTGTCCCTGGTCAGTTACTGTATCTCTGGTCAGTTACTGTATCCCTGGTCAGTAACTGTCTCCCTGTACCGTAACTGTGTCCCTGGTCAGTAACTGTCTCCCTGGTCAGTAACTGTGTCCCTGGTCAGTAACTGTGTCCCTGGTCAGTAACTGTGTCCCTGGTCAGTGTCCCTGGTCAGTAATTGAGTCCCTGGTCAGTAACTGTATCCCTGGTCAGTAACAGTGTCCCTGGTCAGTAATTGTATCCCTGGTCAGTAACTGTATCCATGGTCAATAACTGTTTCCCTGGTCAGTAACTGTGTCCCTGGTCAGTAATTGTATCTCTGGTCAGTAACTGTATCCCTGGTCAGTAACTGTGTCCCTGGTGAGTAATTCTATCCCTGGTCAGTAACTGTGTCCCTGGTCAGTTACTGTATCTCTGTTCAGTTACTGTATCCCTAGTCAGTAACTGAGTCCCTGGTCAGTAATTGAGTCCCTGGTCAGTAACTGTATCCCTGGTCAGTAACAGTGTCCCTGGTCAGTAACTGTATCCCTGGTCAGTAACAGTGTCCCTGGTCAGTAATTGTATCCCTGGTCAGTAACTGTATCCCTGGTCAGTAACTGTGTCCCTGGTCAGTTACTGTATCTCTGGTCAGTTACTGTATCCCTGGTCAGTAACTGAGTTCCTGGTCAGTAACTGTGTCCCTGGTGAGTAATTCTATCCCTGGTCAGTAACTGTGTCCCTGGTCAGTAACTGAGTCCCTGGTCAGTAACTATGTCCCTGGTCAGTAACTGTGTCCCTGGTCAGTAACAGTGTCCCTGGTCAGTAACTGTATCCCTGGTCAGTAACAGTGTCCCTGGTCAGTAATTGTATCCCTGGTCAGTAACTGTTTCCCTGGTCAGTAACTGTGTCCCTGGTCAGTAATTGTATCTCTGGTCAGTAACTGTATCCCTGGTCAGTAACTGAGTCCCTGGTCAGTAACTGTATCCCTGGTCAGTAACTATGTCCCTGGTCAGTAACTGTGTCCCTGGTCAGTGTCCCTGGTCAGTAACTGTATCCCTAGTCAGTAACTGAGTCCCTGGTCAGTAACTGTATCCCTGGTCAGTAACGGTATCCTTGCTCAGTAATTGAGTCCCTGGTCAGTAACTGTATCCCTGGTCAGTAACTATGTCCCTGGTCAGTAACTGTATCCCTTGTCAGTAACGGTATCCCTGCTCAGTAATTGAGTCCCTGGTCAGTAACTGTGTCCCTGGTCAGTAACTGTATCCCTGGTCAGCAACTATGTCCCTGGTCAGTAACTGTGTCCCTGGTCAGTGTCCCTGGTCAGTAACTGAGTCCCTGGTCAGTAACTGTATCCCTGGTCAGTAATGGTATCCCTGCTCAGTAATTGAGTCCCTGGTCAGTAACTGTATCCCTGGTCAGTAACTGAGTCCCTGGTCAGTAACTATGTCCCTGGTCAGTAACTGTATCCCTGGTCAGTAATGGTATCCCTGCTCAGTAATTGAGTCCCTGGTCAGTAACTGAGTCCCTGGTCAGTAACTATGTCCCTGGTCAGTAACTATGTCCCTGGTCAGTAACTGTATTCCTGGTCAGTAACTGTGTTCTTGGTCAGTAACTGTGTTCTTGGTCAGTAACGGTATCCCTGGTCAGTAACTGTATCCCTGGTCAGTAACTGAGTCCCTGGTCAGTAACTATGTCCCTGGTCAGTAACTATGTCCCTGGTCAGTAACTGTATTCCTGGTCAGTAACTGTGTTCTTGGTCAGTAACTGTGTTCTTGGTCAGTAACGGTATCCCTGGTCAGTAATTGAGTCCCAATCAATGATTTTATCCCCAATCAATGATTTTATTATCTCTCGTCAGTAATTGTGTCTCCCGTCAGTAATTGTGCCACAAGTCAGTATTTCAACTGTTTCCTCAGAGTGAAAATAGGTGTCACCACACAGCAAGTTCGCTGTAGAAAGGTGTCACCACATAACTGTTCTTCAAACTGAAGATAGGTGTCAACACACAGCTGGTTCACCTGACTAAAAGTAGGTGTTTTCAGACAAGCTTGTCCACCAGACTGTCGGTAGGGGTCTCAGACAAGCTTGTTCACCAGACTGTAGGTAGGTGTCTTCAGACAAGCTTGTTCACCAGACTGTAGGTAGGTGTCTTCAGACAAGCTTGTTCACCAGACTGTAGGTAGGTGTCTTCAGACAAGCTTGTTCACCAGACTGTAGGTAGGGGTCTCAGACAAGCTTGTTCACCAGACTGTAGGTAGGTGTCTTCAGACAAGCTTGTTCACCAGACTGTAGGTAGGTGTCTTCAGACAAGCTTGTTCACCAGACTGTAGGTAGGTGTCTTCAGACAAGCTTGTTCACCAGACTGTAGGTAGGTGTCTTCAGACAAGCTTGTTCACCAGACTGTAGGTAGGGGTCTCAGACAAGCTTGTTCACCAGACTGTAGGTAGGTGTCTTCAGACAAGCTTGTTCACCAGACTGTAGGTAGGTGTCTTCAGACAAGCTTGTTCACCAGACTGTAGGTAGGTGTCTTCAGACAAGCTTGTTCACCAGACTGTAGGTAGGGGTCTCAGACAAGCTTGTTCACCAGACTGTAGGTAGGTGTCTTCAGACAAGCTTGTTCACCAGACTGTAGGTAGGGGTCTCAGACAAGCTTGTTCACCAGACTGTAGGTAGGGGTCTCAGACAAGCTTGTTCACCAGACTGTAGGTAGGTGTCTTCAGACAAGCTTGTTCACCAGACTGTAGGTAGGGGTCTCAGACAAGCTTGTTCACCAGACTGTAGGTAGGTGTCTTCAGACAAGCTTGTTCACCAGACTGTAGGTAGGGGTCTCAGACAAGCTTGTTCACCAGACTGTAGGTAGGTGTCTTCAGACAAGCTTGTTCACCAGACTGTAGGTAGGTGTCTTCAGACAAGCTTGTTCACCAGACTGTAGGTAGGTGTCTTCAGACAAGCTTGTTCACCAGACTGTAGGTAGGTGTCTTCAGACAAGCTTGTTCACCAGACTGTAGGTAGGGGTCTCAGACAAGCTTGTTCACCAGACTGTAGGTAAGGGTCTCAGACAAGCTTGTTCACCAGACTGTAGGTAGGTGTCTTCAGACAAGCTTGTTCACCAGACTGTAGGTAGGGGTCTCAGATGGTTAATGGGAATGGATGTTGACCTTGTTCTGTTTACAGGAGTAAATGGCTGACCAGCGGGGAGCAGGATCTCTCCATTTCACAAATGTTCCGATGGATGGGCGACTCAAGTGTTTTGGACACCAGCCTTAGCCAGTTCATGAGTCCTGGTGGTTCTGGCACCATCATTGTCTTTACTTTTGTAGGTGAGTGGTTGATAAGAATGAATATTATTTGTTATAAATTATAATGAAATGTATGTTAACACTTACCAAAGTAATGTATGTTCAACAAAAAAGGAAATGTGCAAAGCCCCCCCCTGCAGTACACCTTAGCTGTGAGGAAATAATTGAATATTAGGTCAGGAATTACATGAATGATCTCCCTTCTCAATAATCTACTCTAAAATCAGCCAAGTGTGACCATGCCATTGTCTGACTTTGCAAGCTTCTTAAGTCCAAATTACGAAATGTCACCCTTAACCAAAATTCAGAGGGGTGAAGTAATTGCCATGTTACTGCTGCTGTCGTACGGCAGTTTGGTGTTTCCCAGTGTACAATCAACCATCTCTATACATATTTCCATGCTACTAGGTTAGTTTCTGATCATCTGGCAAATTGACGTTCTCATGAATTCAATGCATAGGAGAATCTGTGCAAGGATTCTTGTAAGTGGTGCCCACATCAAGTACTGAAGTGTGAATTTGATTTTCTTGGGTATCCCACTTTGAGGAACTACTGACAACATAAATGACGTCACACAAACTTTTCTTCTACAGTATTGTAACAAGTAGACTTGTCCTGTCACATTGATATAAAATTCTGTAAAAATTTCCCTTAAAGTCAGAAACTTTTGATTGAATAATTTAATTGTGCATTTCTTGAGTTTGTTGAGTGTATATTACTCTACTAGTAACAAGTTCCCATACTGATGTATGTTACTAGATACAAGTTCCCATAGTGATGTATGTTACTAGGTATAGGTTACCATAGTGATGTATGTTACTAGCAACAAGTTCCCATAGTGATGTATGTTATTAGCTACAAGTTACCATAGTGATGTATGTTACTAGCTACTAGCTACAAGTGATGTAAGTTTCTAGGTATAAGTCACAATAGTGTTTTATGTTACTAGGTATAAGTTGCCATTGTGATGTATGTTACTAGCTACTAGCTACAAGTGATGTAAGTTTCTAGGTATAAGTTACAATAGTGTTTTATGTTACTAGGTATAAGTTACCATAGTGATGTATGTTACTAGGTATAAGTTACCATAGTGATGTATGTTACTGGGTATAAGTTACAATAGTGTTTTATGTTACTAGGTATAAGTTACCATAGTGATGTATGTTACTAGGTATAAGTTACCATAGTGAATTATGTTACTAGGTATAAGTTACCATAGTGTTATATGTTACTAGGTATAAGTTACCATAGTGATGTATGTTACTAGGTATAAGTTACCGTAGTGATGTATGTTACTAGGTATTAGTTACTATAGTGATGTATGTTACTAGGTATTAGTTACCATAGTGATGTATGTTACTAGGTATATGTTACCATAGTGTTATATGTTACTAGGTATATGTTACCATAGTGATGTATGTTACTAGATATAAGTTACCAGGGTAATGTATGTTACTAGGTGTAAGTTACTATAGTGTTTTATGTTACTAGGTATAAGCTACCAGGGTAATGTATGTTACTAGATATTAGTTACCATAGTGGTGTATGTTACTAGGTATAAGTTACCATAGTGATGTATGTTACTAGATATATGTTACCATGGTGTTTTATGTTACTAGGTATAAGTTACCATAGTGATGTATGTTACTAGATATATGTTACCATGGTGTTTTATGTTACTAGGTATATGTTACCATAGTGATGTATGTTACTAGGTTAATGTTACCATAGTGTTTTTTGTTACTAGGTGTGGAGTATAAATTGGGGCTCGCAAAAGTCAGCGACAAACTGAACTACATCTGTGAGATTGCAATGGAACAGGCCTACATGGTTCTCAACCAGGACCGAGACTTCCGTAAGTAATGACCACCCACTAGTCTGACCACACATTGATCATAACCTTTACTGGCCATACAGGACCTTACATTCCACTGACCATCCACTGACTATACACTACACTGATTATACACAGACAACTGACCATCCACTGACTATAAACTACACTGATTATACACAGACCACTGACCATCCACTGACTATACTGACATCCATCCACTGACTATACACTATACTGACCATCCACTGACTATCCACTGACTATTATACTGACTGACTATACACTACACTGATTATACACAGACCACTGACCATCCACTGACTATACACTACACTGATTATACACAGACCACTGACCATCCACTGACTATACACTACACTGATTATACACAGACCACTGACCATCCACTGACTATACACTACTGACTATACACCATCCATCCACTACTATACACTACACTGATTATACACAGACCACTGACCATCCACTGACTATACACTACACTGATTATACACAGACCACTGACCATCCACTGACTATACACTACACTGATTATACACAGACCACTGACCATCCACTGACTATACACTATACTGACAATCCACTGACTATACACTACATCCACTGACTATACACTACACTGATTATACACAGACCACTGACCATCCACTGACTATACACTACACTGATTATACACAGACCACTGACCATCCACTGACTATACACTACACTGATTATACACAGACCACTGACCATCCACTGACTATACACTATACTGACCATCCACTGACTAAACACTACACTGATTATACACAGACCACTGACCATCCACTGACTATACACTACACTGATTATACACAGACCACTGACCATCCACTGACTATACACTACACTGATTATACACAGACCACTGACCATCCACTGACTATACACTATACTGACCATCCACTGACTATAAACTACACTGATTATACACAGACCACTGACCATCCACTGACTATACACTACACTGATTATACACAGACCACTGACCATCCACTGACTATACTACACTACACTACACTGATTATACACAGACCACTGACCATCCACTGACTATACACTATACTGACCATCCACTGACTATAAACTACACTGATTATACACAGACCACTGACCATCCACTGACTATACACTACACTGATTATACACAGACCACTGACCATCCACTGACTATACACTATACTGACCATCCACTACACAAAACTGATCATACACAGAACACTGACCATCCACTGACTATACACTACACTGATTATACACAGACCACTGACCATCCACTGACTATACACTACACTGATTATACACAGACCACTGACCATCCACTGACTATACACTATACTGATTATACACAGACCACTGACCATCCACTGACTATACACTACACTGATTATACACAGACCACTGACCATCCACTGACTATACACTACACTGATTATACACAGACCACTGACCATCCACTGACTATACACTACACTGATTATACACAGACCACTGACCATCCACTGACTATACACTACACTGATTATACACAGACCACTGACCATCCACTGACTATACACTATACTGACCATCCACTGACTAAACAGTATACTGATCATACACAGACCACTGACCATCCACTGACTATACACTACACTGATTATACACAGACCACTGACCATCCACTGACTATACGCTACACTGGCTATACACTATACTGACCATCCACTGACTATAAACTACACTGATTATACACAGACCACTGACCATCCACTGACTATACACTATACTGACCATCCACTGACTAAACAGTATACTGATCATACACAGACCACTGACCATCCACTGACTATACACTACACTGATTATACACAGACCACTGACCATCCACTGACTATACACTACACTGATTATACACAGACCACTGACCATCCACTGACTATACACTATACACTATACACTGACGATTCCTGATCTTACACCACAATTAGACTTATTTACAGTATACATGTGTACAACCTGTCAGAATTTTTAACCTGTTGAATTCACTGATTTTTTCCTGTATTGGTATCAGGTTTTGGGACGTACGTCACAAATGAAAAAGACATGTTGTATGGACCACAGTTTACAAAGATGCCAGAAGATGTTATCATGATTCCTTCATCATCTCAAGCATATGTTGAGTGTCGAGCGATGGGAAATCCACCTCCTACATACCGCTGGTTTCGTGGTGACGATGAGGGCCAAATTAATGAGGAGGTAATTCACATTTATACAACAAATTTTTCGGTAGTCCCATTTTACAATCACCATTAATGCAAATGTTCAACTGTCAAGTCACTACTAATCCCATTATCCAGTCACCACTAATCCTATCATCTCACTATCAAGTCATCATTAATCTAATTATCCAGTCACCACTAATCCTATCATCTCACTATCAAGTCATCATTAATCTAATTATCCAGTCACCACTAATACCATTATCCAGTCACCACTAATCTCATTATCCAGTCACCACTAATCCTATCATCTCACTATCAAGTCATCATTAATCTAATTATCCAGTCACCACTAATCTAATTATCCAGTCACCACTAATCCTATCATCTCACTATCAAGTCATCATTAATCTAATTATCCAGTCACCACTAATACCATTATCCAGTCACCACTAATCCCATTATCCAGTCACCACTAATCTCATTATCCAGTCACCACTAATCTCATTATCCAGTCACCACTAATCTCATTATCCAGTCACCACTAATCCTATCATCTCACTATCAAGTCATCATTAATCTAATTATCCAGTCACCACTAATCCCATTATCCAGTCACCACTAATCTCATTATCCAGTCACCACTAATCCTATCATCTCACTATCAAGTCATCATTAATCTAATTATCCAGTCACCACTAATCTAATTATCCAGTCACCACTAATCCTATCATCTCACTATCAAGTCATCATTAATCTAATTATCCAGTCACCACTAATCCCATTATCCAGTCACCACTAATCTCATTATCCAGTCACCACTAATCCTATCATCTCACTATCAAGTCATCATTAATCTAATTATCCAGTCACCACTAATCTAATTATCCAGTCACCACTAATCCTATCATCTCACTATCAAGTCATCATTAATCTAATTATCCAGTCACCACTAATACCATTATCCAGTCACCACTAATCCCATTATCCAGTCACCACTAATCTCATTATCCAGTCACCACTAATCCCATTATCCAGTCACCACTAATCCCATTATCCAGTCACCACTAATCCCATTGTCAAGTCACTACTAATCCCATTGTCCAGTCACCACTAATCTCATTATCCAGTCACTACTAATCTATCATTTTTCTATCAAGTCATCACTAATGTTATTATCCCACATTAAAGTCACCATTGATCAAATCATCCCTCTATTGAGCAACCACTGATCCTGTTGGCCCAGTAACAGTATCTGCTTGATTGCTTCCCAGGTGACTCCATCCTCAAGTCTAAGGTACACACTGACAAATGGAAAACTAACCATTCAGGCACCAAATGAAGACGAAGATGCAGGATACTACAGATGTGAGGTGGAAAATAGATTTGGAAAAATTATCAGTGACCCCATACAACTATCATTTGGCTGTAAGTTTGATCATTAGTGACCCTTTACAGCTGTCATTTGACTGTAAATTTGATCATCAATGACCCTGTACAACTGTCATTTGACTGTAAGTTAGATCATCAGTGACCCTGTACAACTGTCATTTGACTAAATTTGATCATCAATGACCCTGTACAAATGTCATTTGACTGTAAATTTGATCATCAATGACCCTGTACAACTGTCATTTGACTGTAAATTTGATCATCAATGACCCTGTACAACTGTCATTTGACTGTAAATTTGATCATAAGTGACCCTGTACAACTGTCATTTGACTGTAAATTTGATCATCAGTGACCCTGTACAACTGTCATTTGACTGTAAATTTGATCATCAGTGACCCTGTACAATTGTCATTAGACTGTAACTTTGATCATAAGTGACCCTGTACAACTGTCATTTGACTGTAAATTTGATCATAAGTGACCCTGTACAACTGTCATTTGACTGTAAATTTGATAATCAGTGACCCTGTACAACTGTCATTTGACTGTAAATTTGATCATCAATGACCCTGTACAACTGTCATTTGACTGTAAATTTGATCATCAATGACCCTGTACAACTGTCATTTGACTGTAAATTTGATCATAAGTGACCCTGTACAACTGTCATTTGACTGTAAATTTGATAATCAGTGACCCTGTACAACTGTCATTTGACTGTAAATTTGATCATCAATGACCCTGTACAACTGTCATTTGACTGTAAATTTGATCATCAATGACCCTGTACAACTGTCATTTGACTGTAAATTTGATAATCAGTGACCCTGTACAACTGTCATTTGACTGTAACTTTGATCATCAGTGACCCTGTACTATTTCTTTACAGTCCTGGCAGACTTCTCTAATGTAAAGGATGCCCCTGTGCCAGCCATAGCCTATGATGGAGCAGTCGTGTCCTGTAGTGATATCAAATATAAACCAGGTATGTCTGGGATGTTCTAATACTTGTTTGCTTTACATAAAAATCTCTTCAGTGAAGTCATGTAATTACTTGATATCATGTGAATACCTAAAAAAGCACCTCAAGTGATATCAATGAAAGATATGACATCCTAAATTGTCATAAGTAAATATTTAACACCCTGAAGTATCATAAGTAAATATTTAACACCCTGAAGTATCATAAGCAAATATTTAACACCCTGAAGTATCATAAGTAAATATTTAACACCCTGAAGTATCATAAGTAGATATTTAACACCCTGAAGTATCATAAGTAAATATTTAACACCCTGACGTATCATAAGTAAATATTTAACATTGTGTAGTATCATAAGTAAATATTTAACATTGTGAATTATCATAAGTAAATATTTAACACCCTGACGTATCATAAGTAAATATTTAACATTGTGAATTATCATAAGTAAATATTTAACATTGTGAATTATCATAAGTAAATATTTAACACCCTGACATATCATAAGTAAATATTTAACATCGTGAATTATCATAAGTAAATATTTAACATTGTGAATTATCATAAGTAAATATTTAACATTGTGAATTATCATAAGTAAATATTTAACATTGTGAAGTATCATAAGTAAATATTTAACACCCTGACGTATCATAAGTAAATATTTAACACCCTGAAGTATCATAAGTAAATATTTAACACCCTGAAGTATCATAAGTAAATATTTAACATACTGTCGTATCATAAGTAAATATTTAACATCGTGTAGTATCATAAGTAAATATTTAACATTGTGTAGTATCATAAGTAAATATTTAACATTGTGAATTATCATAAGTAAATATTTAACACCCTGAAGTATCATAAGTAAATATTTAACACCCTGAAGTATCATAAGTAAATATTTAACACCCTGAAGTATCATAAGTAAATATTTAACATTGTGACATATCATAAGTAAATATTTAACATCCTGAATTATCATAAGTAAATATTTAACATTGTGAATTATCATAAGTAAATATTTAACACCCTGAATTATCATAAGTAAATATTTAACATTGTGAATTATCATAAGTATCATAAGTAAATATTTAACACCCTGAAGTATCATAAGTAAATATTAAATATTTAACACCCTGAAGTATCATAAGTAAATATTTAACACCCTGAAGTATCATAAGTAAATATTTAACATTGTGTAGTATCATAAGTAAATATTTAACACCCTGACGTATCATAAGTAAATATTTAACACCCTGACGTATCATAAGTAAATATTTAACACCCTGAAGTATCATAAGTAAATATTTAACACCCTGAAGTAAAGTAAATATTTAACATTGTGAAGTATCATAAGTAAATATTTAACATTGTGAAGTATCATAAGTAAATATTTAACACCCTGAATATATTAACATTGTGAAGTATCATAAGTAAATATTTAACACCCTGAAAGTATCATTTAACATTGTGTAAATATTTAACATTGTGAAGTATCATAAGTAAATATTTAACACCCTGAAGTATCATAAGTACATATTTAACACCCTGAAGTATCATAGGTAAATATTAACACCCTGAAGTATCATAAGTAAATATTTAACACCCTGAAGTATCATAAGTAAATATTTAACATTGTGTAGTATCATAAGTAAATATTTAACACCCTGAAGTATCATAAGTAAATATTTAACACCCTGAAGTATCATAAGTAAATATTTAACACCCTGAAGTGTCATAAGTAAATATTTAACACCCTGAAGTATCATAAGTAAATATTTAACATTGTGTAATCATAAGTAAATATTTAACACCCTGAAGTATCATAAGTAAATATTTAACATTGTGTAATATCATAAGTAAATATTTAACACCCTGAAGTAAATATTTAACACCCTGAAGTATCATAAGTAAATATTTAACATTGTGTAGTATCATAAGTAAATATTTAACACCCTGACGTATCATAAGTAAATATTTAACATTGTGTAGTATCATTAGTAAATATTTAACACCCTGACGTATCATAAGTAAATATTTAACATTGTATCATAAGTAAATATTTAACACCCTGAAGTATCATAAGTAAATATTTAACACCCTGAAGTATCATAAGTAGATATTTAACATTGTGTAGTATCATTAGTAAATATTTAACACCCTGATGTATCATAAATAAATATTTAACACCCTTAAGTATCATAAGTAAATATTTAACACCCTGAAGTATCATAAGTAAATATTTAACACCCTGTGAAGTATCATAAGTAAATATTTAACACCCTGAATCATATCATAAGTAAATATTTAACATTGTGAATATCATAAGTAAATATTTAACACCCTGAAGTATCATAAGTAAATATTTAACACAATTATCATAAGTAAATATTTAACATTGTGAATAGTATCATAAATATTTAACACCCTATATATAACATTGTATCATAAGTAAATATTTAACACCCTGAAGTATCATAAGTAAATATTTAACACCCTGAAGTATCATAAGTACAAGTATCATAAGTAAATATTTAACACCCTATCATAAGTAAATATTTAACATTGTGATATCATAAGTAAATATTTAACATTGTGTAAGTATCATAAGTAAATATTTAACACCCTGAAGTATCATAAGTAAATATTTAACAAAGTATTAAAAATATTTAACACCCTGAGTATCATAAGTAAATATTTAACATTGTGAATATCATAAGTAAATATTTAACATTGTGAAGTATCATAAGTATATATTTAACACCCTGAAGTATCATAAGTAAATATTTAACATTGTGTAGTATCATAAGTATCATAATCATAAGTAATATTTAACATTGTGAAGTATCATAAGTAAATATTTAACACCCTGAAGTATCATAAGTAAATATTTAACATTGTGAAGTATCATAAGTAAATATTTAACACCCTGAAGTATCATAAGTAAATATTTAACATTGTGAAGTATCATAAGTAGATATTTAACACCCTGAAGTATCATAAGTAGATATTTAACATCGTGTAGTATCATAAGTAGATATTTAACATCGTGTAGTAGCATAAACAAATATTTAACACTCTGAAGTAACATAAGTAAATATTTAACACCCTGACGTATCATAAGTAAATATTTAACATTGTGTAGTATCAAGTAAATATTTAACATTGTGTAAATATTTAACACCCTGAAGTATCATAAGTAAATATTTAACACCCTGAAGTATCATAAGTAAATATTTAACACCCTGTAAATATTTAACACCCTGTATCATAAGTAAATATTTAACAATGTGTAGTATCATAAGTAAATATTTAACACCCTGAAGTATCATAAGTAAATATTTAACATTGTGAATTGTATCATAAGTAAATATTTAACACCCTGAAGTATCATAAGTAAATATTTAACATTGTGAGTATCATAAGTAAATATTTAACACCCTGAAGTATCATAAGTAAATATTTAACACCCTGAAGTATCATAAGTAAATATTTAACACCCTGAAGTATCATAAGTACATATTTAACACCCTGAAGTATCATAAGTAAATATTAACACCCTGAAGTATCATAAGTAAATATTTAACACCCTGAAGTATCATAAGTAAATATTTAACACCCTGAAGTATCATAGGTAAATATTAACACCCTGAAGTATCATAAGTAAATATTTAACATTGTGAAGTATCATAAATAAATATTTAACACCCTGAAGTATCATAAGTAAATATTTAACACCCTGAAGTATCATAAGTAAATATTTAACATTGTGAATTATCATAAGTAAATATTTAACACCCTGAAGTATCATAGGTAAATATTTAACATTGTGAAGTATCATAAGTAAATATTTAACACCCTGAAGTATCATAAGTAAATATTTAACACCCTGAAGTATCATAAGTAAATATTTAACACCCTGAAGTATCATAAGTAAAAGTATATTTAACACCCTGAAGTATCATAAGTAAATATTTAACACCCTGAAGTATCATAAGTAAATATTTAACACCCTGAAGTATCATAAGTAGATATTTAACATTGTGTAGTATCATTTAACACCCTGAAGTAAATATTTAACACCCTGAAGTATCATAAGTAAATATTTAACACCCTGAAGTATATTTAACACCCTGAAGTATCATATATTTAACATTGTGAAGTATCATATATTTAACACCCTGAAGTATCATAAGTAAATATTTAACATTGTGAAGTATCATAAGTAAATATTTAACACCCTGTAAGTATCATAAGTAAATATTTAACATTGTGAATTATCAGTATACCCTAAGTATCATAAGTATATCTGAAATTCTTAACATTTCAAGAAGTATCTGTCTAGTAAATATTTAACACCCTGTGGAATTATCATAAGTGTTGTAAGTAAATATTGACATCAGGAAGTGACCATAAATAAATATTTGACACCCTGAAGTATCTTTATAAGTAAATATTTAACATCGTGTAGTATCATAAGTAGATATTTAACATCGTGTAGTATCATAAACAAATATCTGAAATTCTTAACTTATTTCAAGTAAATATCTGTCTTTTTAAAATTTATCCTGACATATGACACCCTGTCGGAATTATGAAGTGTTGTAAGTAAATATCTGACATCAGGATGTGACCTATGAAATATCTGACACCCTGAAGTGTCTTTAGTAAATATCTGACACCCTGAAGTGTCTTTAGTAAATATTTAACACCCTGAAGTATCATAAGTAGATATTTAACATCGTGTAGTATCATAAACAAATATCTGAAATTCTTAACTTATTTCAAGTAAATATCTGTCTTTTTTAAATTTATCCTGACATATGACACCCTGTCGGAATTATGAAGTGTTGTAAGTAAATATCTGACATCAGGATGTGACCTATGAAATATTTAACACCCTGAAGTGTCTTTAGTAAATATTTAACACCCTGAAGTGTCTTTACCACCCTGAAGTGTCTTTAGTAAATATTTAACACCCTGAAGTGTCTTTAGTAAATATCTGACACCCTGAAGTGTCTTTAGTAAATATTTAACACCCTGAAGTGTCTTTAGTAAATATCTGACACCCTGAAGTGTCTTTAGTAAATATCTGACACCCTGAAGTGTCTTTAGTAAATATTTAACACCCTGAAGTGTCTTTAGTAAATATCTGACACCCTGAAGTGTCTTTAGTAAATATCTGATATGCTCTCTTCACAGTGAATTTTCTGCTTTTTTTTCAGATGTAGTTTATAACTGGATGCGACAGGGATACAGTGGTTCAGGGTTTGAATATATTTACACGGAACTCATGCCTTACATGTTCCTGTCTGCCAATGGTAAGCTGTACTTCACAGAAGTGACCAGGGTAGATGAGGCAGATTACTTCTGTCAGGTGACCCTGTCTGGACTATCGTCGACGGTTGTGGGATCAAGTCAACCACCCAGCAAGACTAGTCTACCAATCTTCCTTGATGTTTCTGATTCAGGTATGTACTTAAACCCATCAGCTTATTATTTTTGAGGGGGTTCTCATTTTGCTATTTTTGAGAACTGAATATACTCTCACCCATTACATAACTATCCCTTTATCAGTGTTACTACAGCCATTACATAACTATCCCTTTATCAGTGTTACTACAGACATTACATAACTATCCCTTTATCAGTGTTACTACAGCCATTACATAACTATCCCTTTATCAGTGTTACTACAGACATTACATAACTATCCCTTTATCAGTGTTACTACAGCCATTACATAACTATCCCTTTATCAGTGTTACTACAGCCATTACATAACTATCCCTTTATCAGTGTAATTACACCTATAACATAATTAACCAATTATTTGTGTAATATTACCTAATACATCATTTTATATCATTACACAAGTATAATATGACCTAGGGGAGCTGTGAATGGCTGAAGGTTCTAACTGTTTCCATCATTGTTCAGAACTTCATTGGTCATATACTTTATGACATCACCAAAATAGAGATAAAAAATTTAGGCCATTGTAGATTTTGTACCAGTCTAAAAAAATGTTGTTTTCAAAAATTTGCAACAGTTATATGATAAACAGAATCTTATATTTGTTTCCATTTCTTATGAACTGGGGAAACTTGTCTCAAATTTTTCATTTCACTGCAGTGATGACAACTTCTCAGACTTGATAGATCACGTATGAATGGAAGTTCCTTCTTAACCTCCACACAATAAGTGGAATAAGCCAGTATTTTATACTTGTAATGTACGTGTGTAAAGGCTCGCTTGACAATATTTAGATCTTATTTGTAGCTGCCAGAGCTGACTGGGGTCCTGATATTCACAATGATTTCATCGCTGTTTTCCCAAAACCTCCGATGAGAGGGGAAGAACTCCGACTAGAATGCTTTGCTTATGGAACGTAAGTATTAAACATGTCTGTGATTTTCTCCTTTGTGTTGATGGGACATGGAGATTTTATGCAGCCCCAGACTTTGTTAATGACATGTATTTCACACTAGTTAGAAGAGTTAACATTATGGCTGTGGAATATTTTCCCTGTCCAACCACACTGGTTATCTTTACTGTTATCAGAGCCAAGAACTACGAGAACTCTTGGTCGTATTCATGGAGTCGTGCTGGCAAACCTATGCCATCCCATACCAAGTTCACGGACCTTAATCGCGTACTGACCATCCAGAACGTCCAGCGTGAGGATGAGGGGACCTACACGTGTTTGGTCAGTCGTGGAAATGCTGCTAGTGATTCAAAGTCAGTCACCATTAACTTGGAAGGTCAGTAAAAATAGGAGTAAAGTAATCTAGTCATCTTCAATACAACACAAGATTGAAGTCACATCCCTGTAAAATTACAGATGTTTTCCTGTAGATTTTTCATAGCTATATTTTGTTTAGTAGAAAGTTCATATTTAAGATATTTGTCAAATAAGGATTAAAACATTTAGTCTTGGAAAGTTTTCATTGGTTTTCAATGATAATTTGTGATTTAAAACATTAAGTTCCTTCATATGTCCACAGCTCGGCCATATTTCTTGGTTCCTCTGCGTCCCCAGCACATTGACGAAGGTGCCCATTTGACTTGGCGGTGTCAGGCAGGTGGTCGACCAATACCTTACTACACCTGGTATCGCAATGGAGAGATGATCACCACAACAACACCTGGCATGACTGTTAATAAGAATGTCCTTACTATCACTAATGCCAACTCAGAAGCTCACAATGGCATGTACCAGTGTGCTGCTACCAACATCCACGGAACCACCCTCAGTGGTGCTGAACTCCGCGTCTATGGTATGTTTATGTTCATTTGATTATTGAAAACCAACAATTTCTCAAGCCAAAAATGCATGGTGAAGACATTTGAATATTTTGAATATTGAATATAATTTGTTTCCTTTTTAAAAACTAATACTGTATATCACTTATTCTATAACTTGCCTGTGGGTACTATATTTCTGAAGCTGAGGTAGAGCCAATAGACAAATTCAAAGTCATTGTAATATTTGATGCCTTGGACTTTTAATTTACCATTTTGCCAACAGAATTATTTTCATTCTTTAATAGCATTTGCACCAACCTTTGCAAAATCTCCAATGAAAGAGAGTCAGGATGCTGCTCTCCGTGGCAACATGACCTTGACCTGTAACCCTGAGGCTGCACCAAAACCGGAAATCACATGGCTTAAAAATGGCAACCAGCCTTTATCTACAGGAGGAAATATAGAGATCTTAATCAATGGTGACCTACATATCAGTAACATCAACAATAATGATGGTGGTATCTACACCTGTAAGGCAACCAACCAACATGGAGAGGCACAGGATTCAACTCGTGTCAACATCAGGTGTAAGTCATCAATCTCATGTCAACATCAGGTGTAAGTCATCAATCAGATGTCAACATCAGGTGTGAGTCATCAGTAAGATGTCAACATCAGGTGTGAGTCATCAGTCAGATGTCAACATCAGGTGTGAGTCATCAGTCAGATGTCAACATCAGGTGTGAGTCATCAGTCAGATGTCAACATCAGGTGTGATCAGTCAGATGTCAACATCAGTCATCACTCAGATGTCAACATCAGGTGTGAGTCATCAGTCAGATGTCAACATCAGGTGTGAGTCATGAGTCAGATGTCAACATCAGGTGTGAGTCATCAATCAGATGTCAACATCAGGTGTGAGTCATCAATCAGATGTCAACATCAGGTGTGAGTTATCAGTCAGATGTCAACATCAGGTGTGAGTCATCAATCTCATGTCAACATCAGGTGTGAGTCATCAATCAGATGTCAACATCAGGTGTGAGTCATCAGTCATCAGTCAGATGTCAACATCAGGTGTGAGTCATCAATCAGATGTCAACATCAGGTGTGAGTCATCAGTCAGATGTCAACATCAGGTGTGAGTCATCAGTCAGATGTCAACATCAGGTGTGAGTCATCAGTCAGATGTCAACATCAGGTGTGAGTCATCAGTCAGATGTCAACATCAGGTGTGAGTCATCAGTCAGATGTCAACATCAGGTGTGAGTCATCAGTCAGATGTCAACATCAGGTGTGTCATCAGTGTCAACATCAGGTGTGAGGTGTCAACATCAGGTGTGAGTCATCAGTCAGATGTCAACATCAGGTGTGAGTCATCAACATCAGGTCAGATGTCAACATCAGGTGTGAGTCATCAGTCAGATGTCAACATCAGGTGTGATGTCATCACATGTCAACATCAGGTGTGAGTCATCAGTCAGATGTCAACATCAGGTGTGAGTCATCATCATCAGGTGTCAACATCAGGTGTGAATCAGTCAGTCATCAGTGTGAGATGTCAACATCAGGTGTGAGTCATCAATCTCATGTCAACATCAGGTGTGAGTCATCAATCAGATGTCAACATCAGGTGTGAGTCATCAGTCAGATGTCAACATCAGGTGTGAGTCATCAGTCAGATGTCAACATCAGGTGTGAGTCATCAGTCAGATGTCAACATCAGGTGTGAGTCATCAGTCAGATGTCAACATCAGGTGTGAGTCATCAGTCAGATGTCAACATCAGGTGTGATCAGTCATCAGGTGTGAGTCATCAACATCAGGTGTGAGTCAGATGTCAACATCAGGTGTGAGTCATCAGTCAGATGTCAACATCAGGTGTCAGTCATCAGTCAGATGTCAACATCAGGTGTGAGTCATCAGTCAGATGGCAACATAAGTCATCAATCTCATGTCAACATCAGGTGTAAGTCATTAGTAAGATGTCAACATCAGGTGTGAGTCATCAGTCAGATGTCAACATCAGGTGTGAGTCATCAATCAGATGTCAACATCAGGTGTGAGTCATCAGTCAGATGTCAACATCAGGTGTGAGTCATCAGTCAGATGTCAACATCAGGTGTGAGTCATCAATCAGATGTCAACATCAGGTGTGAGTCATCAGTCAGATGTCAACATCAGGTGTGAGTCATCAGTCAGATGTCAACATCAGGTGTGAGTCATCAGTCAGATGTCAACATCAGGTGTGAGTCATCAGCCAGATGTCAACATCAGGTGTGAGTCATCAGTCAGATGTCAACATCAGGTGTGAGTCATCAGTCAGATGTCAACATCAGGTGTGAGTCATCAGTCAGATGTCAACATCAGGTGTAAGTCATCAGTCAGATGTCAACATCAGGTGTGAGTCATCAGTCAGATGTCAACATCAGGTGTGAGTCATCAGTCAGATGTCAACATCAGGTGTAAGTCATCAATCTCATGTCAACATCAGGTGTGAGTCAACAATCTGATGTCAACATCAAGGGTAAGTCATTAATCTCATGTCAACATCAGGTGTAAGTCATCAGTAAGATGTCAACATCAGGTGTAAGTCATCAATCTCATGTCAACATCAGGTGTAAGTCATCAATCAGATGTCAACATCAGGTGTGAGTCATCAATCAGATGTCAACATCAGGTGTGAGTCATCAGTCAGATGTCAACATCAGGTGTGAGTCATCAGTCAGATGTCAACATCAGGTGTGAGTCATCAGTCAGATGTCAACATCAGGTGTGAGTCATCAGTCAGATGTCAACATCAGGTGTGAGTCATCAGTCAGATGTCAACATCAGGTGTGAGTCATCAGTCAGATGTCAACATCAGGTGTGAGTCATCAGTCAGATGTCAACATCAGGTGTGAGTCATCAGTCAGATGTCAACATCAGGTGTGAGTCATCAGTCAGATGTCAACATCAGGTGTAAGTCATCAATCTCATGTCAACATCAGGTGTGAGTCATCAATCAGATGTCAACATCAGGTGTGAGTTATCAGTCAGATGTCAACATCAGGTGTAAGTCATCAATCTCATGTCAACATCAGGTGTGAGTCATCAATCAGATGTCAACATCAGGTGTGAGTCATCAGTCAGATGTCAACATCAGGTGTCAGTCATCAGTCAGATGTCAACATCAGGTGTGAGTCATCAATCAGATGTCAACATCAGGTGTGAGTTATCAGTCAGATGTCAACATCAGGTGTAAGTCATCAATCTCATGTCAACATCAGGTGTGAGTCATCAATCAGATATCAACATCAGGTGTGAGTCATCAATCAGATGCCAACATCAGGTGTGAGTCATCAATCAGATGTCAACATCAGGTGTCAGTTATCAGTGAGATGTCAACATCAGGTGTGAGTATGAATTTCATGCCATTTTGAGATGTATTTGTTACCATCATCAGTGCCATATTGTCTTGTTCCTGGAGTCACCTGTGAACATAAATAAACTTTATGCCTTACAGCTGGAACAACAATGAACAGGATAATGACACCCAAGATGAATGTAAATCTCAATGAAACAGCTTTCCTCAGGTGTGAAGCTTCTTACGACCCTGTTCTCGATCTCATGTATGCTTGGAAGTTCAATGGAAGAGAGTTGGATATTGAAAATGATGTACATTATTCTTTGGTAAGTATTAATATACATAGAAAGAGCAATATGTACTCAGTGTTGGATGTCACGGAGAGAATGATGTCACCTCTCTGTTGTCATGGTAACCTTAGCATTCACAGGATAACATGGTAACTTTGTTGAAGAGAAAGTATTTGTTTACATGGTAACTGTTTTGTTTCCATGGTGACTGTTTTGCTTACTTGGTAACTTTATTGAAGAGAGAATATTTGTTTACGTGGTAACTGTTTTTGTTTACACGTTAACTTTATTGAAGATAAAATATTTTGGTGTTGGCTTGGTAACCACCAATTTGTTGACATAGTAAACTTTTTATTAACAGGGTACACACTCCAACTCCAGAGGTTTATACATTAAGAATGTTCAGTTTAAACATGAAGGCCAGTATGAATGTGTAGCACGAACACCCCTGAATGAAGCTTTTACTGCCGGGGAACTCACTGTGCTCGGTAAGACACAGAATTTATTCACAATTCTCTGTGTAAAAGTATATTACCTCTGACTCAAAGTTAGTGTGCTTAAATACAACAAGGAAATGGTTTATAATCTACAAAGCAATATATAGGTGGGCTTATTACGAGCTGTGTATTCATGAATTGATAGATGTATAGTGACATACATATATGCCTTTTGATGAAAGGAAGTGTGTGGATTATCTCCCTGTATCTACTCACCCATGTCTACTGTGTATATCGAGGAGGACCAAACATCAAATACATTGTATAATGGTAAAATTTGGATGCACTTGTGTAGAAATTGAGAGAACAGGTCCCCTTACTATCCTGGACTAGTGAGAATTTCCCCTTAGTCGATCTGTAGAGTGTCTAGTAGCTAGAGACCAAAGGGGTGGTAGTTCGAACCCCAGCTGTGGCAGGGTGTTTTTCATCTCTCCTTCCTATTACACCTGTATGGCTGTTGCCATAGTAACGTCATTACTGTGTGATGACACTGCTTCAGATATGTCTGATGTTTGGTGAGCTGTCTAAACACCCTAGAGAATTATCTATAAAACCATGATATTTATGATGCTGCTCTCTCACGTTGTCAAGACACTGGGTAAATGTGGTCATGTAGTCCTGAACATTTTCTGTTTGTAGGACCCCCAGGAGAATGTGGAGGTGTGTTTGCTGACCCCCACACTGTCACTACAACTACAATCATGCTGTACTGGTTTCCAGGAGAAGACAATGGTCGTCCTATTGACTACTATATCATACAGGCTGAAGCTGTTATTCTACCAGATGTCTGGGTCACAGTTCGTGCTGGTCAGTACCTTAAAACTTACATCATCATCATTATCATCACCTCACCACCACCACCACCACCACCACCACCACCACCACCACCACCACCAATACCCTCTCCTGGAGTCCCAACAAATCACCACTTTTCAGCGGACAATTACTTACAGAAACACTTCTTATTTTCAGTTCAAATTATAAAGTATCTCAAAGAATGAGAAATATATGTAATTAATACAAATGTTTATGTGTAGGGGTGCCGGACGTGGAAGCAATCATTGATGGGAACTCTCGTGACATGAGGTCGATCATGGTATCTGGTCTGGACCCTGGAAATGGATATCGCTTCAGGGTACAGGCCGCTAATGCCTATGGTATTGGAATCCATAGTAAAGCCTCACGTAAGATATATTTTGTTGCAGATTAAGCTTACGATAAAGTCATATATATTATTGTTTTCTATTCCAAAATATATACTGATAACTTGAATGATTTCACTGATAACAATATATCTATATTACAAACTATAAATGGTATAAATTATCCTCAATATGTGTGTTCAAACAGTCTAGGCCTTTGGTGTAAGTATAATTGTCTGCTTTCTTGTTACAGAGATTTACCAGACAAAACCTGCACCCCCATCAAGGGCCCCAACAGGCGTCAGTGGAGGAGGTGGTAGCGTGGGGGATCTCAGTATGGTCTGGGAGGTAAGTGGTTCACTTGACCGTTAAGATGAAATGAACACTCCCATAGTAAAGTGAACTGTGGTTCACTTGACCGTTAAGATGAAATGAACACTCCCATAGTAAAGTGAACAGTGGTTCACTTGACCGTTAAGATGAAATGAACACTCCCATAGTAAAGTGAACTGTGGTTCACTTGACCGTTAAGATGGAATGAACACTCCCATAGTAAAGTGAACAGTGGTTCACTTGACCGTTAAGATGAAATGAACACTCCCATAGTAAAGTGAACAGTGGTTCACTTGACCGTTAAGATGAAATGAACACTCCCATAGTAAAGTGAACTGTGGTTCACTTGACCGTTAAGATGAAATGAACACTCCCATAGTAAAGTGAACTGTGGTTCACTTGACCGTTAAGGTGAAATGAACACTCCCATAGTAAAGTGAAGCCGCTTGATATTTTGTTTTCAATTAATGTTTGTTCACTGAATCTTTTATGACTTTACGTAATAAAGCTTCTCTATAGATAATGAAACAAAAAAACAACAAGTGTTATGGCCATGATAAAGTGAACCCCTGCCCCACTCTAAATTTCCCCTTCCCAACCATATTTTATGTATTTATATGAATGAATCAGGATAATACAGAAATACAATTTTGTGAAGAAAGATAATTAGTAAGAAAATAGTGTAATGCTTCACTCTACCTGCCCCACCCTAAATTTCCCAACCACTCAAAATTATATAGCTGTTGACAAAGGTGAAAACGATCTCTTGAACTTGAAAGAAAAATAGAAAAAATTGGGAAAGATTACTAGAAACCACATATTAATAGATAAAAACCATATAACTAGCCTTGCCTAGCTCCTGATGGTTTTTCCCATATTTAATGCAGGTATGAAAGTTTTTATAAAAAATATAATTATGAAAAAGGAATCCTTCATTATTCTTCAGGCACCTTTTCTTTCCTCTGTCCTTCCTTCAATCTTTTCTTATCTACAACTGTCTTTTTCTTTCTCTCTTTAGAAACTGTACAAGGCACCACGTTTTTCAACTCTTGAAATCATGAATCTGCCTTGCTTTAGTTACATGTATAAGAGTATAAGTATATGCTAAAAGATATGATTTCTCATGTATTTAAAAATGTAGAATATAAAAAATGAGATTTTGTATTGCTGTAAAAATTCAAAACCTGAAAACTTTCCCTCCCCTTGTTATTTTTTGTTTTATCTTAAATGGAGGAACATAATTTAGTAAATTGATAAAAAAATCTTACTATGGTCTTATGACAAGTAAGAAGATCCAGCTTTATAATGTATTTAGCTCAAGGTATTTCCTTGGGCAGTTTTTCCAATGTGTTTCTTTAACTTCTAACCATGTCATTGTTAGCTATAGTGCCATATATATACCTTCTGACTAAAGGAATTGTGTGAATTATCTCCCTCTAGGTACTCTCCCGTGTTTACAGAGGAGGACCAAACGTCAGATACATTGTATATTGGCGAGCATATTCCAATGATCCAAATCGCCAATGGAGTACGGTAAGTGATTAGACTTAAGTAATCTCCTTACCTGTATGATATATGGTTTGTTAATTTGATGTTCTCAGATTTTATGATTTTGTAAATAAGAAGTGAAGCTGTAATTCCATGTTCATACACCTGCCTATAACAATCACCTGTCTATTACTGTCACCTGTCTATAACTATCACCTGCCTATAAATTTCACCTGTCTATTACTGTCACCTGTCTATAACAATCACCTGCCTATAAATATCACCTGTCTATTACTGTCACCTGTCTATAACAATCACCTGCCTATAACAATCACCTGTCTATTACTGTCACCTATCTATAACTATCACCTGTCTATAACTATCATCTGTCTATAACTATCACCTGTCTATAACAATCACCTGCCTATAAATATCACCTGTCTATAACTATCACCTGTCTATAACAATCACCTGCCTATAACTATCACCTGTCTATAACTATCACCTGTCTATAACTATCACCTGTCTATAACTATCACCTGTCTATAACAATCACCTGTCTATAACAATCACCTGTCTATAACAATCACCTGTCTATAACAATCACCTGTCTATAACAATCACCTGTCTATAACAATCACCTGTCTATAACAATCACCTGTCTATAACAATCACCTGTCTATAACTATCACCTGTCTATAACAATCACCTGTCTATAACAATCACCTGTCTATAACAATCACCTGTCTATAACTATCACCTGTCTATAACAATCACCTGTCTATAACAATCACCTTTCTATAACTATCACCTGTCTATAACTATCACCTGTCTATTACTGTCACCTGTCTATAACTATCACCTGTCTATAACAATCACCTGTCTATTACTGTCACCTATCTTTAACTGAACCAACTTTCCTTCAAAATCAATAAAGATATCGTTTTGTGAGGAATGCTACACAGTATTTTCCCCTCCAAGTAAGGACAGGTTGACTCCCAATGAAGTATAAATAATGTAGAATGCAGGAATGTATTCATCTTTCAGCCAATGAGCCTCTGTAACTGTTTGGTTTTCATTCTCTTCATTTTCTAGAAAGAGATTTCCAACGTCAATACTACCAAATATGTACACACAGTTGGGGATACCAACTTTTACATGAGGTATGAGGTGAAAGTTCAGGCCTTCAATGATTATGGCAAGGGTCCAAACTCTACTGAAGTCATCATCTACTCGGCAGAAGGATGTAAGTTAGTCCTAAAGTCATTCCAATCAGAACTGACATATCCTGGACAATCAGCTGGCATCATCTCCATCTTCCCTTGTATTGTGTGTTACATACCAAATTTCATTGAAATTTAATGATATTTGGTGTGTGCCTATCATCACATGGTCACATTTTGTTTCTTAAGCAACCAATGAAAAACAAATATCATTTGAATTTTGTCTTGTATTGATACAAAATTTTCATGAATTCTACCTTTATTTTTAAAAAACAAAAACCTGGTCGAAATGTTGGTGAAAATAAGAAACAGATAAGAAAAGGATGAAACACACTACGTCCCCAATCTTTCTTTTTTTTGTTGGGGACTGTTCTGATTTTTCAGCACAGAAATAAGGTATCCCAAATATCAATAACACAGACTGGCACATTCTCTGGAATAGGTCCCACCAACAGGATAACAAAACTTCATTTCACAATTCAATGTTATTTACAATACAAATTGTATCTAAGGGACATCTTTTGTTCTGCTAATTCATAGTCAGATCAGAAGTTTGTGATCCAAAAGCAGCTTCAACACATCAGAAAAAGTACCTTCTTTTATGAAGAAAAATTTATGATTTTATCTGAATTTTTTGGAAAAGTTACAAAGACAAAATGTTTGATTAAATTTCCTTTATTGCATGAATTGAAACAGTAAGTTATAAAATGTATACGCTATGTGTGACCTTGACACTGTAGTGCCTGCTGCTGCCCCAGAGAAGGTCAATGCTGATGGGTTTAACTCGACAGCTATGGAAGTTTTCTGGACACCAGTAGCTAACACCAGGACAGCAATGAAGGGCCTGGTCAGAGGTTATCAGGTTAGTCAGTAGAATCTTTCTCAGAAACTAGACAGACTTTGTCTCACCTCGATTCCATTTTCTTGCTCCATTAGAGAAAGTCAACAATTCAATCTAAATGGTTTCCTGTCCATGGCTGATGATTATTTCATCTATTTACAGATCAACTACTGGCCAAATAATGCTGAAGATCCACCATTGAAGCAATTCATTCGTTACCAGGGACAACGGGACACAGGCCTAGTGATTGGTCTGGAGGCAGACAGTTACTTTTGGTTTGATGTACAAGTGTACAATACCGCAGGCCTGGGCCCCCTCAGTGAGAAATACACACAGGAAACTAAAAATCCAGGTCAATTTTTCTTTTGTTTAAATAGTCTACTCTTTAAGTGATTTCCAAAGCAGCTCTTCATCGACCCAAGTGTATTTCTTACATTACCTTGTTCCTACTCTTTGATTTTTCTTCTTAAGAAATCTTAAATAAGCCTTGCCATGTGTTGGTGTTCATGTGTTGGTGTTCATGCATTGGTGTTCATGCATTGGTGTACATGTGTTGGTGTTCATGTGTTGATGTTCATGCATTGGTGTTCATGTGTTGGTGTACATGTGTTGGTGTTCATGCATTGGTGTTCATGCGTTGATGTTCATGCATTGGTGTTCATGTGTTGGTGTTCATGTGTTGGTGTTCATTTGTTGGTGTATATGTGTTGGTATTCATGCGTTGGTGTTCATGCGTTGGTGTTCATGCCTTGGTGTACATGCGTTGGTGTTCATGTGTTGGTGTATATGTGTTGGTGTTCATGTGTTGGTGTACATGTGTTGGTGTTCATGTGTTGGTGTACATGTGTTGGTGTTCATGCATTGGTGTTCATGTGTTGGTGTTCATGTGTTGGTGTATATGTGTTGGTGTTTATGTGTTGGTGTATATGTGTTAGTGTTCATGCCTTGGTGTTCATGTGTTGGTGTTCATGCATTGGTGTATATGTGTTGGTGTTCATGCATTAATGTTCATGCCTTGGTGTTCATGTGTTGGTGTTCATGTGTTGATGCTCATGTGTTGGTGTATATGTGTTGGTGTTCATGCATTGGTGTTCATGTGTTGGTGTACATGTGTTGGTGTACATGTGTTTGGTGTTCATGCGTTGGTGTTCATGCATTGGTGTTCATGTGTTGGTGTTTATGTGTTGGTGTACATGTGTTTGGTGTTCATGCGTTGGTGTTCATGCATTGGTGTATTTGCTGTAGGTTTTAGAATAAAGTAGAGAAACTTATAAAAAAACCAATTTGTCATTTTAAATTTAAAAAAAAATCATTGAAGCAAACATTTGTTTAGTCATCAACATATCTGAACTCTAACTTTTCTGTCCACAGCTCCATTCCTTTACCCTCAGGAAACCCATGTCCATTCCCAAGGGTCAGATTCAGTCAAAATTACCTGGAGGGGCATCAGTACCTCAGTAGCAGAAGATACTCTTAGGGGATACGTGGTAAGTTATTAGTACCTCAGTGACAGAATATACACTCAGGAGATATGTGGTAAGTTATCTGTACCTCAGTGACCTGAGATACACTCAGGAGATATGTGGTAACCTGTCAGTACCTCAGTGACCTGAGATACACTCAGGAGATATGTGGTAAGTTATCAGTACCTCAGTGACAGAATATACACTCAGGGGATATGTGGTAAGTTATCAGTACCTCAGTGTCAAAATATACACTCAGGGGATATGTGGTAAGTTATCTGTACCTCAGTGACAGAATATACACTCAGGGGATATGTGGTAAGTTATCTGTACCTCAGTGACAGAATATACACTCAGGAGATATGTGGTAAGTTATCAGTGCCTCAGTGACAGAATATACACTCAAGAGATATGTGGTAAGTTATCAGTACCTCAGTGACAGAATATACACTCAGGAGATAAGTGGTAAGTTATCAGTACCTCAGTGACAGAATATACACTCAGGAGATATGTGGTAAGTTATCTGTACCTCAGTGACAGAATATACACTCAGGGGATATGTGGTAAGTTATCAGTACCTCAGTGACAGAATATACACTCAGGAGATATGTGGTAAGTTATCAGTGCCTCAGTGACAGAATATACACTCAAGAGATATGTGGTAAGTTATCAGTACCTCAGTGACAGAATATACACTCAGGAGATATGTGGTAAGTTATCAGTACCTCAGTGACAGAATATACACTCAGGAGATATGTGGTAAGTTATCTGTACCTCAGTGACCTGAGATACACTCAGGAGATATGTGGTAAGTTATCAGTACCTCAGTGACAGAATATACACTTAGGGGATATGTGGTAAGTTATCAGTACCTCAGTGACAAGCTATGGGAGAGATTATTGTTGGATGTGTACCATACCCTGATATATGGGAGAGATTACTGTTGGATGTGTACCATACCCTGATATATGGGAGAGATTATTGTTGGATGTGTACCATACCCTGATATATGGGAGAGATTACTGTTGGATGTGTAACATACCCTGATATATGGGAGAGATTATTGTTGGATGCGTACCATACCGATAAATGGGAGAGATTACTGTTGGATGTGTAACATACCCTGATATATGGGAGAGATTACTGTTGGATGTGTACCATACCCTGATATATCAGTGGAGTTACTGCTCACTAACATTATATACACTGGAGAAGCTAATGAATTATTGTTTTCTTCTTTCCTTGACCGTTTATAGGTGTACTTCTGGCAAGCCAATGAGAACTTCAGGACTGCTACAGAAGTGCAGGTAGACCGCAAACCTACAGAATATATCATCCAGGGACTCAAGAAAAACATTGTGTATGCTGTGAGAATCGCTGGCTTCAGCGGTGGAGGTGCTGGGAAAAAATCACCCACTGTTTACTTCACTTTAGGTAAGGAATATTGTTTCGCCTATAAAGTCCATCTGTAGTTAACAAATGTCTGTCGATAAAGGTCATCTGTCATTAACAAATACCTGTCTATAAAGGCCATCTGTAGTTAACCTGTCCATTAAGGTAAATTGTTTACAAATTCATGTCAATACAGACCTCCATATATAACAACTACCTGTTTATAAAACCCATCTGTACATAACAAATATCTGTCCAAAAAGGTCATTTGTGTTTTAAAATATCTGTCAATTAAGACCATCTGTATATATAACAATTACCTGTCTATAAAAGTCACCTGTTTATAGCAAACACCTGTCTATAAAGGCCATATGTATATATAACAAACATCTGTCTATAAAGGTCACATGTGTATGTAACAAATTCCTGTCTATCTAAAGTCACTTATCTCCAATTCTGTTAGTGGTCTTTATATATGACAGGTTTGACCAATGAGAATAGTAATCTTTATTTTCTAAGGATTACAAGTTTAGACAAAGACTAATCTTCTACCTGGTCCTCTTGTTAGTAAAATTTCATGTGTTAGATAAAAGTTACATATATATACACAATAAACTGTAGTTATATCAGTTATAACAAGGATTAAGATTATCACAGAATGCCGAAGTTGTCATACATACACATTGATCAATTAAATGGCTTTAGCCAAATACACATATATACTATTATAGCAAAGAAATGCAAGAAATGGCATAGTCTAACAAAGCGTGATCCAAGATATTGTATAACAATTTCTATATACTAATCTTTCAATGATTAAAAGATAAGGTAGCCAGTAAGATAATGACTGCTAATAGTTTGCTCAAAAAGTCTAGGATTATTCAGAAGTTATAAATGTTGTTTGAGCTAAAGATCATATAATAATGCAGCTGTTAGTGTCCAGGCCAACCAATTGACCTGATTTTTATAGACATGTATATTGATAAATATTGCCAGAGGTAAATTTTGTTGACTTTTAATACTTTTAATGACCTATACATGTATTTTAATAGTCCATAGTTTAATATTGATGCATGTGATACTTACCTTCAATGTACATCAAAAATCAGCAACTTACCTGAGTATATTTTCATTGTCTATTAACCAGTAAGATTTTTAAGGGTGTATAAATCTATTGTTTCCAGTGAAGTAATTGATGGCTCTTCCTGTTACAGGTGGTATGGTGTATGTTGACCCAACACTGACTGACATCCGAGCTGCAGCATCCATCAATTCCTCATCATTTGTTTCTATTCTGTGTATCGCCATAGTGACATTATTGCTACAAAAATAAGTGCTGAGAAGTGTGCCTGCAGAGACCTACATGCACATTGCTATGTGATTAAATCCATTTGAATCTGTAGAAACTTCATAGATCTGTTAATAACATATCATTTGTCTCTAACATTCCATTGCCACTTGTAAATATGTCCATAAGTTGTGTACCATACCAGCCATCAAGTTCTATATTTCATATTATGTATACTTATGCATGCTTTAATGAAAGTTTTTTCAAGGGTTGAAAACAAGGAATGTCTAATATGTACAGTGAATAAGGTGAATATGTTTACTTGAAACATTCTGAATGTGCATCAATTTATACCAAATTTTAGAGTATTTTTTTACTGTTGACAGTGATGTGAGCGATGTTTGAATCAAACTTCCATAATTCTTTACATGACAATTTTTTGGTCAGTCTGTTGTTGCTGTTAAATAGTTTCAATCCTACCTCCATACAAAATAAAGGAACATGACAAGACCATGTATTATTAAGTTAAGTCAGCAGAGCAAAGGTTTTGCCTTGTAATTTCTTTATGATGTGCTTCAGTATCTGTATTGGAGCATATCTTAAAGGAGGGTAACAGAAAAGTCTAACATTTATAAGATTAGAGATATTTATATACGAGATGTAGATATAAGAATTACATATATATAAAGTGCAGTGTGTTTATCCTAGAGAAGAACACACAACCCTTGTCAAAGTTAAGTTCAGAGGAAACAGAAAAGTCTAACATTTATAAGATTAGAGATATTTATATACGAGATGTAGATATAAGAATTATATAAAGTGCAGTGTGTTTATCCTAGAGAAGAACACACAACCCTTGTCAAAGTTAAGTTCAGAGGAAACAGGAAAGTCTTTCAATCATTTGATGGGAGACATGAAGTGACTAAAGAAAATGACACCTCAAAACTTCTTCAATTTCAGTAACAGAGTTATGAATTTGTAGTTATTACAAAGGAGAAATAAGGTATTTGTCCGTGTACCAGTCTTGTTCTGTAAGTAAAATGACTACCATGATTACTGAGGACAGATAAGATCTGTCTGCTGCTGTAGATGTAGCACTGTTGTTAATTCTGTTATAATTATTTATAAGCAGTGATGTAAACATCAGAAGTTGTATGAATGTGTTAAACTTATCACTTTAGCATTAACTATTATATCATTATCATTTCTGTTTGAGATGTTTACAGGTAATTTTCTCTACCTAATATGTGCGTTTGTGGTCCCTGAAATTCTTTTAAGGTACTGTAAATGTCTTTAATTTCGATGGAACAAATCATGGATAATATCATGAAAAAGAAACATCTGCAAGAACTTCAGATTGATTCATGATCCTGTGAATATAATCTACTTAATATGAAATAATCTTAGACATTCAAAATATATACTAAGATAGCACCATTGGCAGCTGCTATTTCTTTTGTTAAGGTATCGGCTCGTAGCTGGTAAAACCAGAAATCTCATCATTTATTCAGCAATTTGTTTTTAGTTAAATTTTTTTAGCTTCCTCACATAGCATGAAAATGGCATTTATGTATTATTATATATAACATCCGAAATAAGGCTACAGGATTCCATTGTTAGGTGTGGATAAAATTATAGTGGAGCACAGAGTCCACACAGGTGCCAGTTAGTCATCAGTAGATGATGGAACCTGATGGCGTCCACACAGGTGCCAGTTAGTCATCAGTAGATGATGGAACCTGATGGATTCCACACAGGTGCCAGTTAGTCATCAGTAGATGATGGAACCTGATGGAGTCCACACTGATACCAGTTAGTCATCAGTAGATGTAACATATATCCAGCAATATGAACAGTCAAATTATACACAATTCTTTGTTTAGGAATTAACTGAATCGTTTGATTTTATTTACATATGACTTCAACTGGAAACAATTGATGGAGGCTGTAGTGTATTCCTAGATTTAAAAATCTAAGATAATTTGTGAATATGAAAAGTATGGATTCTTGTTTGGTGCAATGTACTCAATCATTACTACACCCTTTAATGATGATGCAAATATTATACTAAACATAATTTTGGATACAGGAGAAGACCACCATTACACTCTGGCCGAGAGTATCACAATCCACGTCACCAAGAACAGAATTCCTTCCCTTACTAGAGTGCTACTTTGTTTTATCTGGTTACCAGTATGTAATGTATAGAAGTATAAAAATTATACCGCACTGTTTAACGGTGCTAGAGATTCTTCTCTCTGGGATCACTTTGAATATTGTGGTGGTCTATATTAAATGAAATCCAACTTTTGTACTAATTATCTGTGATCAAAGTTGCCTTAAGTTATGTCAGAGCAATATTCTCCTTTGATGTTTTTAATACATGTCAACAGATCAATAAACTGTATCATTTTTAACAATTTTTGTGTGGAGTCAATTTTTTAGTGCGAAACAGAACAATACATGACCATCCTATGCCAAAGAAATATTCATGATTTACAATCTCAAAAATTGTAATATTGAGTCAAAATGCCAAGAGAGAAACCATTGCTTGATGTTTTGAGATAAATTGCAGCATGCCAAGTTTTAAAAGAGACAAATGGAAATTAAAAAAAAAACACCAAAAAACAAAGGGCAATAACTTATTCAAAACTGCTGGATATTTCCTTTAACGATCCTAAAGTCTAAAAAATCTTTAAAGAAATTGGCTGAAATCTCCAGACAAGTTCAATATTAAGAAAGCAGGGAGCTGTAATCAACCACAGTCAAATCAAACTTCTGTTCGGGACATCACGCCTTCAGGTCATCATGATTAAGTCTACCAATTTCAACAGAAATTGACTGACAACAGAGCTCTCCAGACAAGATGAATGTAATGAAAACAAGGGGCAGTAACTCTTCAACATAGAATCATATCAAACATCAATATGACGTACGCCTGGATAATTTTAAGCCTACCAAGTTTGAAAGTGATTGATTAGAATATATTGGAGATGATCTCTGGTTAAACAAAAGTTACGACGACAGACATAATACGTCCCATCTTTTGATCAGGTGTGTAAAAAACAGGTCAGTCATTTTATATTATTGTTTAAATTATCCAGTAGCAGAATAACTGAATTAATTACTGAATACAATCTGAAGTCTTTGTCTTCACTTAAACGTATGCCTCATGAAGTTGATAAGAGGTGTAATGATATTGCAACAAGTCACAAGGAGAACTAAATCACTAACTGAATATTCACATTTTATTCAAGGTCATGCAATAATTCCAATGTTATAAGGTCACATGATTGGGTGTTTATAAATGATATTACACACATTTTAACTTCTGTATATGGTAGTGAAAATCAAAACAACATATGACAGTTTTTCTTTATGATTTCACTATAGATGGAAACATTTAGAATATATCTACATTTGTAATGTAAATTATCCAGGAGACTGTCTTTAAATCAACACAGGTATATTTAAAAGATAGAAACATTTTGGCTTTTCCCCCACAGTACTAATTTTAACACTACTTCAATTATATAGGAATATTAGCCACACTGAAATTTTTGTCTTCCAGCACTGTGATCTGTCGCCACACATCACCTCTCTATTATCACAGTCACAACATATAATAACTTTTAACATCTCTTTTTACCACCTTTAGTCTTCACTCATCATATTTGTCCTAACCGTTCAATGTCCAGTTCAATATCTACTAGTTCATATCATAACTAAGTTTGCAGATGCATGTCTTTCACCTCCTTCCTCCATTAAATCAAATCTTCCTTCAAGAAAAACATCTGTTTCCACTACGTCTGTATCCTTGTTCTGCTGTCATCAGTATAATGGAATAGTAAAACAATCACTCAGTTACCGGAACTGTATCGGACTAATTCTTAACCCTATACAGTCCTTTCCAATCTCTGTGACCTGAAAAAGTATAACATTATAATGAAATATCTAGAATTAACAGAGAAAGATTTAATCAATGACATTTTCTTACCTTTCGTCAATGATAACAGATTTTAAGATCACATAACATTAGTAGATTTAACAGGCCAATGACTGCATAACTGTAGATAGCAATCAAAATTACAATCCAGATATATATGAAGAACTACTTGTTTATCCTAGCAACAGCAATTTTTGTTATTTCTCTCCTTCCTCACCCCTTACCCCTATTTCTGTTCTGTTCACTTTGCTCTTTTACACAAAAGGAGGAAATTCACAAAATGTTCTACATAAACTTACCTGTGTTACCCAAAACACCTGTCCCTTATTGTCCGGATGATATGTAAAACTTACCTGTGTTACACGACACACCTGTCCCTTAATGTCTGGATAATATGTAAAACTTACCTGTGTTACCCAAAACACCTGTCCCTTATTGTCTGGATGATATGTAAAACTTACCTGTGTTACCCAAAACACCTGTCCCTTATTGTCTGGATGATATGTAAAACTTACCTGTGTTACCCAAAACACCTGTCCCTTAATGTCTGGATGATATGTAAAATTTACCTATGTTACACGACACACCTGCCCCTTATTGTCTGGATGATATGTAAAACTTACCTGTGTTACACGACACACCTACCCCTTATTGTCTGGATGATAAGTAAAACTTACCTTTGTTACACGACACACCTGCCCCTTAATGTCTGGATGATAAGTAAAACTTACCTGTGTTACACGACACACCTGACCCTTAATGTCTGGATGATATGTAAAACTTACCTATGTTACACGACACACCTGCCCCTTAATGTCTGGATGATAAATAAAACTTACCTGTGTTACATGACACACCTGTCCCTTGTAGTCCGGATGATAAGTAAAACTTACCTGTGTTACACGACACACCTGCCCCTTAATGTCCGGATGATAAGTAAAACTTACCTTTGTTACACGACACACCTACCCCTTAATGTCTGGATGAAAAGTAAAACTTACCTGTGTTACACGACACACCTGTCCCTTAATGTCTGGATGATAAGTAAAACTTACCTGTGTTACACGACACACCTGTCCCTTGTAGTCCGGATGATAACAAGCCCCACTAAGTGGACACTTCACAACAGGTTTTCCTCTGTAATAAACACAACATTTCAGTTAACTACAACAATACAGATATTTTCACTGCTTCATTTAAATTCCAGATGGAGTGAAGCACAAGCCTAAACTGAACATTTCAGATAACAAGAAGTAAAAATCAGGGGTTTGATGTGCAGCCTCTTGTGTCTATCAGGGGTTTGATATTAGCCCCCATGTCTATCAGGGGTTTTGATGTGTTGCCTTCCATGTCAATCAAGGGTTTAATATGGACATACCCCTGTAATATGTAAGTGTGTCTATACAATATATGCCTACTTGTCTTATCAGTGTCGTACCTGTATATAGGCGTAAATGTTGCAGAACAGATATCGAATGGATTGTGTTGGTCATACTTCAACTCATGTGCATCTGTTGGGGTCTTTTCACAGGCAGCCAGCATTTTCCTTGTCTGCAAGCAGAAATAAAATATCTCTAACTGAACATGTTGTTAATCTAACACCTAAAATACCAGAGTATAAGTGTAGGGAACTGCTGATCTTTCATTATCAATTGGGTATCATTAATTATATCTATCAAATATTGATAATTACCTGCTAACTCTAATTGTATAGGTTTGCACTGAAAATACTCGTCATCTGACTGATCTAACCTTCACATGAATCTGTGAGATATCTAAGTATGACCATCTGCATCATTTCACATAGATTGTAAAAAACAGAACTAAACAGAGAACTACATATATTAATTTCAATGAACCAACAAACACCGTAAATTTGCGGGTATAGTGCGCACTCGGGTATAGTGCGCAGGTACTTTTTTGGGGTCAGATTAAAAAAAAAAAAAGATTTTCTACAGAAAGATTAATTGATTACTGGTTACTGTATGTAAACAAATTCACATCGGTGCCTGACTTAACAAGCATGAAAGACTTGGTTAATTGGATAATTAACGGTTCTTAACAGGTAACAAACACATTGAGTATGAGCAGATTGAGGACACCCGGCTTCGGCTGAATGCGTACTATTGCTCAGAAAACGATGTTGTTTTAACTGTCTGAAAAGTTTCAATCCTACCTTGTCCCCATATCTGTACCTACCGCGGTATCCGAAGGTACAATTATAGATTGTTTACACCGACTTCGACATGGGGAAACAGCGAACGCCATTGACTACGCCGAGAGACTTGAGTTTTGTGCCGCCGATTGCCACTTCGACATTCCAGAGTGAAATATCAAGGCATGGAAGAAAAAAAAGACCGTCTAAAGGGCTGACATAGGTGCGACAGCGAAACACACAGGTGGGAGAGAGCTGTTCAACTCTATGCGATCGCCAAGATGCCAGCATCACTGCCAGTACAACAGAACTGCACGTGCAGGCCATGCAGATCAAGAGAGGTCATGGGGTCACCAACATTGGGCATCGGTGGGATGGGCTGTCCGATTTATGAACAGAACGACAATCGCCCAAAAAGACTCATTGAATTCCACAGATACATCATCAAAATGAGGCAGAAATTCAGACATTATTATAGCCCAGACCAATAGTAAGACCGTCACTATTCGACCGACGGGAAACGAAAAAAATAAAAAAGATTCACCGTAATACTAGCGGTAATGGCCGATGATTAAAACATTCGAAATTTATTTTTTGTTGTTGTTGTTGGTATCATATTTAATCAGAATCTATTGTGCAATCAATCTGCTTTCTATCATATTTTAACATAGGGACAACACCATTAAATATAATCTTTATAAAAAGACAAGAGAATCAGTAGAACACATGGTTGCTCCTCCAATACACGCTAGTATCAAAAGGGCTAATTTTTTTCAAAATTATTATTTTCCAATATTGCTGTTTAAAACATCATAATACAAAAGAGTGTGATGGTTGTAGTGCACTGCACTTCTCCTTATTGAGATCTATCTACCGATGAAGTTTCAGGTCTACACTACTTAAAGTTTTAGTGTAATACTTCATACAAAATTTAAGTACGAAAATAACAAAGGGTAATAAATCCTACTTTATGCAAAAGAGAGTGATGGTTATGCATTGTACTTCTCCTTGCTGAGATCTATCTATAGATGAAGTTTTGTGTTAATACAGTTTTTGTGTTATGCTCCGCACAAAATTATGATGGACAAACAAATGGACAAGCAAAGCGGCAACTATATGCACTGCCTTTGGGGAGCACAAAAATCTCTTTATAGCTGACATAGATTACTTACAATTTTTTGACCTTATTAATCAATATCTACCTGTGTAGCTATTTCAGGCTTAGGACCACATTCAAGAAGTCGTCTTGCAAAGGATGCAGCTGTTTTAAAATTCTTTAATTTGAAGAAAAGATTTTGTGCTGTGCGCAGCGTGAGGATCATGTGGACAGGCTGTAGGTTACAATGAGTGAAGTAGGCCGCCATCTGTAAAACAAACACAACAATGCTTATCACAGTGAATGAAGTTGGTTACTGACTGTAAACCAGATATTTCTTAAAATATCATATCATTTTATTTCTTATCGCATTTAACAATGTTAAAAAAATGTGTAAACACAAACAAATATCTTTGAGGAACAAACTATTGGTATCTAGTGGAATGATTTACCTCACAAAGTCGTTTCTGGTCCTCCAATGTGGCTTTAGGGAGCTCCTTTCGTTTCTGTTCCATGGACAGTCCAACTATATATTCCCGACAAATCTCTATCAATTGTTGGGCCTGTATGCATCAATCAGGACATCTTGTTACACTCAAAGCAATCATGCCAGTTTTTTTTTATATATTGCAATTTCACCAGATTTTTTTATTCACCACAAAATGCAAGATTTTTTTTATATATTGCAATTTCACCAGATTTTTTTATTCACCACAAAATGCCAGATTTTTTTTGATTTCCTACACTGATGCTTGACTTTTTTTTATTTAAAGCAATACTTTTTTAAAATTTCCAACAATCTGATAATATTCAAGTTGTATACAGCTCACTTGCATACAACCAAATGATGAATACTATAATTTATTATGTAAAGACATTAGTTACCATTAAAAATTCTGTTGTTTTAAATCAATAATTTGAATTCAATAAACGAAATCTGAAGTATCCCATAATGCGCCCAGAGGATCAACACATTATTTAAAATCAGAAAATGGGCTTTTTTAAAGGACAATGAAGTAGCAGTTGTTAGCAATTTGAGTATACAACATGTATGGTGGACTTATTACCATATAAAAACACATTAAACAGTAGAGATCATGTGCTGAAAAAATCATTAAAAAGTAAGTAAAAGCTGACTCGCAACCACACAATGACAGGTAAAGCCTACCTCTGCTACTTCCTGTTTGTTGTCAACCACTAGAAGAGGAACACTCAACAGAATATTTCTGAACTTGATGATGGCTTCTGGGAACTTTCCTGAGGTGGTCAGTTGGTAGGCTACCTGTAGTTGCTGCACCAGAGTGTTCAATTTCAGTCCAACAGCAGGCATGCCATTTCTGGCACCAGATTCCTTCCTATAATATAGGATATCAATGTCTTTAAACTGTTTCAATTTCTATGTCCTTTAGTATCACATAACAAACATTAAAACTCCAAAATCCTTTCTAAAATACAGACATTCTTTATTCATGACATGACAATAGCATTACTAAGACCTGAGTATATCTCCCAGCTGATTAGGAAGGTTATACAATAAATTCAACCCTTACATCTTCCACTGATGGAGCTACCTTCATACTATTGAAACTTCACAACAAAGAAACAATGAGATCCTGACAAGGTCATGTTAGAGATCATTATCTGGAATCAGTTCTCTCTTCCTGTTATAATGCTTTCAATATCAAGGCTTTAGAATTGTGGGACTCACCAGTTACGATGTGGGAAGCCAAACATTGGAGCCAGTGTAGGCACGCCCTGAAAACACGTCCTTGCTCTGCTGTATGTCTGTAGAAATAGCTGTTTATACGTAGCAAAACTCACCACCCCGATCTGGTCGTGTAGTAACTACAAACATATAAAACCTTCATTAATATCAAAACCTGAGACTATTCCAGCAACTGCCTATGTCAAAGCTCTAAGAAAAATTGCAAAACATTCTAAAAATTCATCAATAACAATTGTTCTTCATAAAAAAACACCTGCTTTTTTGTATGTATTGTTAGATATGTATAAAACTAATTTCCTTGATGAAAATTTCAACTGAAAACTTTAACATGTATTGAAATTAGTAACCATTGTCTCTAATAACCCTAAATGACTTTCAAAATTTTATATGTAATTAATGTAAAGATATATGAAGAAAGGCGAGATTTTACTTTTTCATATCTGTGTAAGATTTCTACAGACTTTACAAACAATACCAGAGAAATTAGCTATTTACCAGTCTGATTTTGTCTACAGAAACCTGGTTTTATTACAAATATGTTACTCAGTCTGTACCACACTTACAACAATGTCCACACTTACCCGCATTGCTGTCTCGAAGGATCCTGCCAGAATATGGTCGACAGGCAGCTGGGAGTTATTACACCACACCTACAACAGAATGTCACTTACAATAATAAGTTAAATTTGACCACAAATAACAATTCAGAACTGTACCTGAGTTAAGTTTTGTTCATTCTTGAGTCTAGTAAAAAGGAAAAGACTAGTATTGAAACTGACTTGTGATTTAACATTTATTTTAGCAAATGATAAAAAAACTATTAGAAAACTGAATATGTTGGTATAAAGAATTCAGACTTCTTTAATATGTGGGTTACTGATGTCTGTCTAGACAAGTCTCCCTAGCTTCTGGATTGCTATAGGAACTTAACTGTATCTGTGTGACTGATGTAAGCTTGTACTACCACTAATTACACTGTCAGATATCTTTGATGTATAAAATTTTGCTACAAAGTGTTGGTACCTGTGACTGACTCTGTCCTTTAGTTGGCGGTACAAAGTAGCCCTCCTCCCCAGCTGTTGGTGTTGTACCAATGTCCAGGTCGGTAGGAAGCTCAACATCATCCACATCCCATCCTCCTCCATCTTCTCCAGTTCCTAACTCATCCTCATCCATATCGTCACCTCCAAAGCCATCTGCCAAACACAGAAAGTCCTCTAACATATACTTGGTTTACATATGACACACACAGAGAAATCTTCTTACATAGATATTTGGTTCACATCTGACACTCACTAAAATCCTCTTACATAGATTTGGTTCACATTTGACACACACAAAAATCTTCTTACATAGATTTGGTTCACATCTGACACACAGAAAATCCTCTTACATAGATTTGGTTCACATCTGACACACAAAAATCCTCTTACATAGATTTGGTTCACATCTGACACACAAAAATCCTCTTACATAGATATTTGGTTCACATTTGACACACACAAAAATCTTCTTACATAGATTTGGTTCACATCTGACACACAAAAATCCTCTTACATAGATTTGGTTCACATCTGACACACACAAAAATCCTCTTACATAGATTTGGTTCACATCTGACACACAGAGAAAATCCTCTTACATAGATTTGGTTCACATCTAACACACACAAAATCCTCTTACATAGATTTGGTCCACATGTGACACACAGAAAATCCTCTTACATAGATTTGGTTCACATCTGACACACAAAAATCCTCTTACATAGATATTTGGTTCACATTTGACACACACAAAAATCTTCTTACATAGATTTGGTTCACATCTGACACACAAAAATCCTCTTACATAGATTTGGTTCACATCTGACACACACAAAAATCCTCTTACATAGATTTGGTTCACATCTGACACACAGAGAAAATCCTCTTACATAGATTTGGTTCACATCTAACACACACAAAATCCTCTTACATAGATTTGGTCCACATGTGACACACAGAAAATCCTCTTACATAGATTTGGTTCACATCTGACACACAAAAATCCTCTTACATAGGTTTGGTCCACATGTGACACACAGAAAATCCTCTTACATAGATTTGGTTCACATCTGACACACACAAAAATCCTCTTACATAGATTTGGTTCACATCTGACACAGAGAAAATCATCTTACATAGATTTGGTTCACATCTGACACACAAAAATCCGCTTACATAGATTTGGTTCACATCTGACACACAAAAATCCTCTTACATAGATTTGGTTCACATCTGACACACAAAGAAAATCATCTTACATAGATTTGGTTCACATCTGACACACAGAGAAAATCCTCTTACATAGATTTGGTTCACATCTGACACTCACAAAAATCTTCTTACATAGATTTGGTTCACATCTGAGATTTGGTTCATATCTGACACACAGAGAAAATCCTCTTACATAGATTTGGTTCACATCTAACACACAGAGAAAATCCTCTTACATAGATTTGGTTCACATCTGACACTCACAAAAATCTTCTTACATAGATTTGGTTCACATCTGACACACAGAAAATCCTCTTACATAGATTTGGTTCACATCTGACACACAGAAAATCCTCTTACATAGATTTGGTTCACATCTGACACTCACAAAAATCCTCTTACATAGATTTGGTTCACATCTGACACACAGAAAATCCTCTTACATAGATTTGGTTCACATCTGACACACAGAAAATCTTCTTACATAGATTTGGTTCACATCTGACACACAGAGAAAATCCTCTTACATAGATTTGGTTCACATCTGACACACAGAAAATCCTCTTACATAGATTTGGTTCACATCTGACACACAAAAATCCTCTTACATAGATTTGGTTCACATCTGACACTCACAAAAATCCTCTTACATAGATTTGGTTCACATCTGACACACAGAAAATCCTCTTACATAGATTTGGTTCACATCTGACACACAGAAAATCCTCTTACATAGATTTGGTTCACATCTGACACTCACAAAAATCCTCTTACATAGATTTGGTTCACATCTGACACACAGAGAAAATCCTCTTACCTAGATTTGGTTCACATCTGACACTCACAAAAATCCTCTTACATAGATTTGGTTCACATCTGACCCACAGAAAATCCTCTTACATAGATTTGGTTCACATCTGACACTCACAAAAAACTTCTTACATAGATTTGGTTCACATCTGACATACAGAACATCCTCTTACATAGATTTGGTTCACATCTGACACTCACAAAAATCTTCTTACATAGATTTGGTTCACATCTGACACACAGAAAATCCTCTTACATAGATTTGGTTCACATCTGACACACAGAGAAAATCCTCTTACCTAGATTTGGTTCACATCTGACACACAGAAAATCTTCTTACATAGATTTGGTTCACATCTGACACACAGAGAAAATCCTCTTACCTAGATTTGGTTCACATCTGACACTCACAAAAATCCTCTTACATAGATTTGGTTCACATCTGACACTCACAAAAATCCTCTTACATAGATTTGGTTCACATCTGACACACAGAGAAAATCCTCTTACCTAGATTTGGTTCACATCTGACACTCACAAAAATCCTCTTACATTGATTTGGTTCACATCTGACACTCACAAAAATCCTCTTACATAGATTTGGTTCACATCTGACACTCACAAAAATCCTCTTACATAGATTTGGTTCACATCTGACACACAGAGAAAATCATCTTACATAGATTTGGTTCACATCTGACACACAGAAAATCCTCTTACATAGATTTGGTTCACATCTGACACTCACAAAAATCTTCTTACATAGATTTGGTTCACATGTGACACACAGAAAATCCTCTTACATAGATTTGGTTCACATAGAACAAAAACTGATAGCTCCTCACTGTCCCAACATTACTTTTAAACAGCTAGGAATGTAAGTATCATAATAATTACAAAAAATTTCTCAAGAAAATCACATACTGAGCAGCTTTCAGATACTAGTGAATCAACACATGATCCATATATCTCCAAACAGATACAACCCACCAGATACTTAAAGTGATGTTAATGATTTCACAATGTTTTATATATGGATCAGTTTAGTTTAGTTATTAAACTTTCTGTAGCTCCATGTAGGACCCAATGGTCATGATGATGAATGAGCTAATTCTCCAACCCAAAGCCATAATAACTAATATCAACAGTCATATCATCAAGGTGGACAAATAAATTATGTAAGTACCATCACCAAGGTCAATGTTGTCCACATCAGCTCCCCAGCCATCTTCAACACCATCTTCTATATCTACAGCTGCCTTAGCAAGACCCTTGGCTTTACCTGCACAACAAAATTTCACATGAATATTTATACTTTCTAACAATTACCTTGTACGACAAAATGTCTGACATCAATATCTACTCATTCAAATACAATCAAACCTGTCTATGGAAGCAATTAAAGAGTGCTAAGAAAAGTGGCCTTTATAGACAGAGGGCCTTTTTACAGCGGCTCTATTACTCAAATGGCTTTACACTGGTATCCAAATGCAGTCAATTTCATATACAAGTGTAACAATGGCCTTTCACTATAATAGGCAATACACCTACCACTTCCAGCAGTCATGGCCCCCTCAAAGAAGCCCTTGGACACTGTGAGGAGAGGCCAATTACTCTCCTGTTGCATGATGGGCACCGGAGGGTGAAGAAGCTTGGCAGCAGGGTAAAGGTCTGGGGTACGATCTTTCTCCCCAAAGGTTGACTTCAACTGTTCGGCCTCATCTTCTATACCGTGGGTGGCAGCAGTAAGGTAGGCCAGTGATTCTACAACAGATCAACTATTTAGTAAAGTAACGGGTAGCCCAGTGGTTCTACAACAGATCAACTATTTAGTAAAGTAACAGGTGGGCCAGTGGTTCTACAACAGATCAACTATTTAGTAAAGTAACAGGTAGGTCAGTAGTTCTACAACAGATCAACTATTTAGTAAAGTAACAGGTGGGCCAGTGATTCTACAACAGATCAACTATTTAGTAAAGTAAAATTTAGGTCAGTAGTTCTACAACAGATCAAATATTTAGTAAAGTAACAGGTAGCAAGTGATTCTATAACAGATCAAATATTTAGTAAAGTAACAGGTAGCAAGTAATTCTATAACAGATCAAATATTTAGTAAAGTAACAGGTAGGCCAGTGGTTCTACAACAGATCAACTATTTAGTAAAGTAACAGGTAGGTCAGTAGTTCTACAACAGATCAACTATTTAGTAAAGTAACAGGTAGGCCAGTGGTTCCACAACAGATCAACTATTTAGTAAAGTAACAGGTGGGCCAGTGGTTCCACAACAGATCAACTATTTAGTAAAGTAACAGGTGGGCCAGTGGTTCTACAATGGATCAATTATTTAGTAAAGTAACAGGTAGGCCAGTGGTTCTACAATGGATCAACTATTTAGTAAAGTAACAGGTGGGCCAGTGGTTCTACAATGGATCAACTATTTAGTCAAGTAACAGGTAGGCCAGTGGTTTCACAACAGATCAACTATTTAGTAAAGTAACAGGTGGGCCAGTGTTTCCACAACAGATCAACTATTTAGTAAAGTAACAGGTGGGCCAGTGGTTCTACAATGGATCAACTATTTAGTAAAGTAACAGGTAGGCCAGTGGTTCTACAATGGATCAACTATTTAGTAAAGTAACAGGTGGGCCAGTGGTTCTACAACAGATCAACTATTTAGTCAAGTAACAGGTGGGCCAGTGATTCTACAACAGATCAAATATTTAGTCAAACTAAAAATGTCAAATACAGCAATGTAATTGAACTTCCATCAACTTACTTTGTCCGCAGTTTTTGAGAATCCTAACACGCTCAGAGACATCCCCCAGAAACAGAGCATTCTGGAAATGTCCACTTGTATCCTTCCTGATCTCAGCTGTATCAAAAAGGTTAAGAAATAAGAGAGTTAAGATTGGTGTGTACTGAACTCCTTCCTGTTGAGATTTATCTACCCATGAAAATTTTAGTATCAAAAGGGAATTAACTTCTAAATTTTGTAAAAGAGAGTGATGGTTCTGGAGCACTGCACTTCTTGTTGAGATATATCTACCTATGAAGTTTCATGTTGATACCTCTTATAATTTTAATTCAATTTAATCTGAGAAAAAAAAGAAACAATCAGCCATGACATAGAATGTTTAATTATAATTCTTAGAATACCATTTACTTCCTGTCAAATGAGTACCCATTCATTTTGTCTAAGATTGAATACCACCAATATGAATGTGTGAAATCTGATTCTCAGTAAAACTGTCCTGATGAACGTACCGATTTTCATCATTTTTCGGAGTTTCTCTAGGTTTCCTGTGATGAGGTAGAGGAAGGAAAGCTTGTCAAAGTTCTTTGTTCTCTGGTATGCCATTTCTACCACTTGGTGATTACCCTGAAGCAGGGCAGCCTCACCTAACCTCTCCCAGCATGCTTGGTCATCCAGGGAGCGTGCTGCTTCTAATGCAATCTGGAAAAATAAACAATGCCTTTAAGATTTCTGAATATAGATACCATTTTGTGTAAATAGTAATATATCTTATAAATTACTAAATTCAACATGGACTGTACATACACATAATCCTGAGAATTCTGCACAATATGTGTCAGAGAGACAATGACAAATGATCAGTGAGACAACATCTAAAATGCAACTATAATCACAGCATTTTTAATGAAAAAATCAACATTTCAACATTTCACAAGATTACTTACTTCAATATTACCACACTCTAATGCAAGTCCAAAGCGTGTCTTCTCGTCCTTGACAAAGTGGAGAGCCACTTCAGGGTAGCCCTTCTTCTGCAGGTAGGAGATAATGGACTGACCAACCAGTTTGGCATTTCTGACCATGTGTAAAACCTAAAACACAGCATTGAAATTGTACAAGTCACTACAACACAATAATGAAATTGTACAGGGCACTATTGCCTCACTACAACATAACAATGTAATTGTACAGGGTACTATTGCCTCACTACAACACAATAATGAAATTGTACAGGGCACTATTGCCTCACTACAACATAACAATGTAATTGTACAGGGAACTATTGCCTCACTACAACACAATAATGAAATTGTACAGGGCACTATTGCCTCACTACAACATAATTAAATTTTTTTTGGGCATAATTATTTCACTACATCACCATACAATCCGACAGTAAATAAGCCTAATGAAGTGATAAAATTGTAACCACAGCAGAAAACAACATACACATTTGTGTATTAAGTCAATACTCTGCATAGAATCTATGATATAGTGTCCTTTCAGTTACAGATTTCCCGATGCATTATATTTAGACGGTGTGGCAGTGAGTACTCCCACCAATTTCATCTTTCCTAACAGACCATAGGAGAGATATATAATGCTAACGATAGTTTTAAAAGTCATCAGAAAGAGTTCTTAAAAGGTACAGATACAGAACAGCCATTAATTTTTCAACTAGGGCAGGATATCCCTTTAAAGATTCATCAACCATTGTGTCAATCATCAGCTACAACAATTTCCTTTAATGAATTTCAAAATTTCAGGATATTATTGAACATAAATACTATTTCTTAAGCATTTACCTCCTCATACTTGCGGTTGACAAGGGCGAGTTTAAATTTGAATTCTGTGGGGTCAATGACAAGCCTTCCTGGAACACACTCCCTATTTAGACAGTACACACTGTTACCCTTGATACGAGTGATGTAGATTGGTAGGTCAAGAGTTCGGATGATACCATGGTCACTGAAGAAAACAGAAAATCCACATATTTAGTGATCACTGGTGCAAAACATAATAGGATATCTTCATTATCTGACAAAATCAAAATTTAAAGCTTTACAGATCAGAAAATGTCTAAAACATGTATGCTCCTGTTTCTAGGTAAACAAGAAACTGATCAGGTGTAGAACTTAATGTTACGATACAAAACGGTTCATGAAATGAAATCTGGTACGATACGAAATGGTTCATGAAATGAAATCTGATACGATACGAAATGGTTCATGAAATGAAATCTGGTGAGTATTACATGATATTAAGAACACTTACCTGTTGGTGAGTATTACATGAGATTAAGAACACTTACCCGTTGGTGAGTGTTACATGAGATTAAGAACACTTACCCGTTGGTGAGTGTTACATGAGATTAAGAACACTTACCCGTTGGTGAGTGTTACATGAGATTAAGAACACTTACCCGTTGGTGAGTTTTACATGAGATTAAGAACACTTACCCGTTGGTGAGTGCATATTTGATGTGGTTGCTGGTGGTGTATACAAACACACCACTCTCATCCCAGGCTCCACTTTTTACACGGATGTTCTCATGGATGGTACATAGGTTCTCCAACTTTCTGTTACAGATGGAAATAACTGGAAACAAGACAAATACATGTATATATCAACCCTCAAGTATGAATTATTCTATCACAGGGAATGACACAAAGACATGTCAACCTTCGAGTATGAATTATTCTATCAACCCCTGAGTATGAATTATTCTATCAACCCTCAAGTATGAATTATCCTATCACAGGGAATGACACAAATATATATCAACCCCCGAGTATGAATTATCCTATCACACTTTAAAAACCAAAAAAAAAAAAAAACTTAGATTTTGTCAGAAGTACATTACTTTAACATTAAAAGAGGTTCCCTGCGTCAGACTAAAAAACTTCAAACAATATTTGATCTGAAAGGAAAACAGCTTAATGCATACAGTAATGACATTTCATTTAAGTTTGTAAAATATATCCCTAGGAACAGTCAACATATACTATAATAGTAAAAGAACAATACATACTGTGTTTGCTGAGGAGGGCCACATGTGACATGTCTGAGGACCACACCACATACTTCACTTTGGAAATCTTCACGGAGGCAAGTGCTCTGTAGAACCGAATATTAGACTATTGTAGTTACAGGTTGTAACAAGTTGAAATCAAACTTCACAACACACACAACACATTCCATTTTCACTTTGTATTGTATATTATATGCAAGGTTACAATTCAAATTACCTCATGAAGAGATCACCGAGAGCCATACCTTTTTTGTTGTACGTCAAAAAGTGTGACACCATCAGCATCCTTGAGAAGAAGACAACCAGTTCCAGCGTAGAAGACATCATCACAGTTGGGAGCCTGTAGTTTTTTTGTGATCTCATTCTTTAAGTTTTTGATCACAATCTGAAAGTAAAGAGATGAGTGGTAAACATTTTATATACTGCTCTCTGAGTCGGTTAACAGTGAGTGTATATACTGACCACAAGTGACAAGTAAAACACCTGTAAAGAGAGAAAACCTGTCCACTTTAACATGTTAAACTATATCATCCTACCTAAGACCCACATTGTATAATTCCTCCACATGCCCACACAATGTATGATCCCTCCACAGGCCCACACGTTGTATGATCCCTCCACATGCCCACACAATGTATGATCCCTCCACAGGCCAACAAGTTGTATGGACCCTCCTTATGTCTGAACATTGTATGAGTCCTACTAAAATCCACATTGTATGATCCCTCTACAGGCCCACACAATGTATGATCCCTCCACAGGCCCACACAATGTATGATCCCTCCACAGGCCCACACGTTGTATGATCCACATTGTATGGACCCCCTTATGTCTGAACATTGTATGCCCACACATTGTATGATCCCTCTACAGGCCCACACAATGTATGATCCCTCCACAGGCCCACACAATGTATAATCCCTCCACAGGCCCACAAGTTGTATGATCCCTCCACAGGCCCACACAATGTATGATCCCTCCACAGGCCCACACGTTGTATGGCCCATCCTTACGCCTGCACATTGTATAAATCCTACTATAACCAACATTGTATGATTCCCTCCACAGGCCCACACAATGTATGATCCCTCCACATGCCCACACAATGTATGATCCCTCCACAGGCCCACAAGTTGTATGAACCCTCCACAGGCCCACACGTTGTATGGACCATCCTTACGCCTGCACATTGTATGAATCCTACTAAGATCTACATTGTATGATCCCTCCACAGGCCCACACATTGTATGGCCCTTCCTTACGCCTGCACATTGTATGAATCCTACTAAGATCCACATTGTATGATCCCTCCACTCCACAGGCCCACACAATGTATGATCCCTCCACAGGCCCACACATTGTATGGACCATCCTTACGCTTGCACATTGTATGAATCCTACTAAGATCCACATTGTATGATCCCTCCACTCCACAGGCCCACACAATGTATGATCCCTCCACAGGCCCACACATTGTATGATCCCTCCACAGGCCCACACGTTGTATGGACCATCCTTACGCCTGCACATTGTATGAATCCTACTAAAATCCACACAATGTACAGGCCCTTTTCAAGCCCACTTAATGTTTATACTGAAAAGACCTACAGATTATATAGACCATCCTACATTGATAGCACTTACATTGTGAGTTCTGTCCAGTACAGCAAATCTGTTCCTTGCCACCCAAACAGCAGTCAAACCAGAAGACCGTTTACCTTCTGGGGCTGAAAAGCAACATAAACATGGTACATGAGGCAATCTTTACGTGGAAGCATGAATCCAAATATTACTCAGGAAATCCTAAAGAAATGATAGTCTGTCACACTTTTAGTCTTAACATGAGAGATCCCAGAGGAATCTTGTTCCCACCACTGTTTGGTCTTTGTGTGTTCTTTACAAGTTCTATCTTTTCCCATCCATTTTCCATTTCTTTCTCTGTTTTTGCTCTTAATTATACAAAAAAAAATTAAAATCTATTTAAAATAGTGACCATATGGAACCTACATATGAAATATGATAAAACATCTATCCAGTATTCAGGAAATAGCTTTAAGAACTATTATGGTCAAAATCCAAGATGGCCACTTGTGAGTCATTTGTTTTTCTGATCAGTCTCAATATGAAAAGAAAACAACTAGGGACCAAGGGGAACCCATATATAAAATTTGAGAAAGATCCATCCAGCACTTCTCACGAAATATTAACTACAAGAATTGTTTACAGACAGATAAACCTTACACCACAGACAAATGGTGATTTGATGATGTGAGCTAAAAATGCTGGATCATGTCAATCAACAATTTTTCTTTGTACTACAAGTAGAATATTAGGTTTCTCATTCATGACGTGAGATTTTATTGATTCATCAAATTCTGTAAAATTCTAGCACAGCATGACAACATTGAACATAAAGACTACATAATGATGTATATCCAATCCCTGCTTTCCTGATTTGAGAAACAGCTCACATTTTTAATTTAAGTAATTAAGTTTTAATATTTGTATGGACTATGTAATTCTGCCTACCATCTGGGCTGGAAGAGTCGCTGTCCTTGGGAATACCATACAGGTCATAAGTAGAGTTGTCTAGGTTACTTGTCCTCTGTGGAAAAAAAATGTACAATATAGAATGAAGTATGATTTTCTTTATCAATCCTAACATTAGGTATACAAACTTTTGATTTGTACAGATTTATATTATCTCTATGGCTGGTGACACACAGATACTCAACAGGATTAATCATTCAAATAAGCTTTAAGGATCTCTATCAAACACTGAAAGTTGAACTCCTCAGCTTCTGTTGTCATAAGTACAATTTAGTATGTAGCTTAAAAACTTGGACTGGATCCTTGTGTAAAAGTTTCCTCAATGCTTACTTATTAGAAATGCACCATATTTTCTCTGTAGACTAAATATACTTAGAGTACAGAGAAGGACACTGTTCTCAGCCGGGTTGTATAGTGTTAATACTTACCGTACAGAGAAGGACACTGTTCTCAGCCGGGTTGTATAGTGTTAATACTTACCGTACAGAGAAGGACACTGTTCTCAGCCGGGTTGTATAGTGTTAATACTTACCGTACAGAGAAGGACACTGTTCTCAGCCGGGTTGTATAGTGTTAATACTTACCGTACAGAGAAGGACACTGTTCTCAGCCGGGTTGTATAGTGTTAATACTTACCGTACAGAGAAGGACACTGTTCTCAGCCGGGTTGTATAGTGTTAATACTTACTGTACAGAGAAGGACACTGTTCTCAGCCGGGTTGTATAGTGTTAATACTTACCGTACAGAGAAGGACACTGTTCTCAGCCGGGTTGTATAGTGTTAATATATCTTAACCAGTATATCAACACCAGAATCTCAACACTGATATCTCAGATATCCACCAGGTTGTATCAGTGATATACTTACCCAGTGAAGGACACTGTTCTCAGCCGGGTTGTATGACATACTGTAAACAGGACATCTTGTGCCACTGTAGAAAGAAACCAGATGAGTACAGATAAAATCAATTATCACCAGAAATGATATCTCAACACCAGTGATATCTCAACATCAATGATATCTCAACATCAGTGATATCTCAACATCAGTGATATCTCAACACCAATGATATCTCAACATCAGTGATATCTCAACACCAGTGACATCTCAACATCAGTGATATCTCAACATCAGTGATATCTCAACATCAGTGATATCTCGACATCAGTGATATCATGACATCAGTGATATCTCGACATCAGTGATATCTCGACATCAGTGATATCTCGACATCAGTGATATCTCAACAACAATGATATCTCAACATCAGTGATATCTCAACATCAGTGATATCTCAACATCAATGATATCTCAACATCAGTGATATCTCAACATCAGTGATATCTCAACATCAGTGATATCTCAACATCTACATCAGTGATATCTCAACATCAGTGATATCTCAACATCAGTGATATCTCAACATCAGTGATATCTCAACATCAATGATATCTCAACATCAGTGATATCTCAACATCAGTGATATCTCAACATCAATGATATCTCAACATCAGTGATATCACAACATCAGTGATATCTCAACATCAGTGATATCTCAACATCAATGATATCTCAACATCAACATCAGTGATATCACAACATCAGTGATATCTCAACATCAATGATATCTCAACACCAGTGATATCTCAACATCAGTGATATCTCAACATCAGTGATATCTCAACATCAATCGGAGAACACATTATTGTCAAATAAATCACTGAGGCTTTTATGCTTAAAACTAAAAAGTGACACTTTGGGAATGAGCGAAATCATCATACAAGTGATAGGATACCCTCTGATTGGTTTCAAAATTCCTGTAAATTAGACTTAAGTAAATGCCATTACCACAATGGCGGCGATGAACATCACACAACGTTCCATTATCTTTGAATAAAATATTATTGCTTGCAAGTAAGCTATTAAATTTCAATCCAGTCCAGTCATTAATTAACCTCATAACACAGAGTTAATGACAGCGAGCTATCATAATCCCATTGCCAGGTAGCAATCTTTGTTGAAAGGTGTAAAATTTTGCAACGGGGTGAAAATACCTGTACAATACAGGTAAAATGATTTGTTTGAATCATGAGTTGTCAATGATGGTGTTATTGCTTACAGTCCGTGAAAAACACTTTAATATATCAATTTATAAAACTTTGATTAATAAAAAGTTAGCAGTAACATAAAGGAATAAAATTCGGGACCAAACAAAAAATTTGATACATCTAGACTGTATCTCATTACCTTAACTATGTATGTAAGAGACATTTCTGACCTATCATGTCTGACAATCCAAAGTGAGTTTGTTTATCTGAAGATCTAAGTAAATAATTAGTATCACGAAACTATATGACATAAAGAGACACAACAACGCTTTAACAAAGTGAAAACAGAAATTTTGCTAATTTTGCTAAAAGGAGAAATAAAGTACATGTCTACAGTCACAAGTGAAATTATTAAAGTGATATATCAATGTATAAAATCACCAAAATGTTTGAACGGTGAGCTAATCAACCAACCCAATAAAAACGTTTGGGACACAGAGGACAGGACAGATACTACACTATTAGTAAGTATTGTATTGGTAAGTTGATAGAGTTTCATTCAGAATTTAAATGTAATTATTTCTAAAATGTTACTACATTTACTTATGTCATATAATAGACAATTATACATCATTATTTAGGTTAACTTCACACTGTGTTACATAAAACACTGTGTTACATAAAACCAGACTTATACATCACACAGAGATGGGCAAGGACAGGACAATGTGTGACATAGAAAGGCAAGGACAAGACAATGTGATATAGATAAAGGAAAGGACAGGACAATGTGTGACAGAGAAAGGCAAGGACAGGACAATGTGATATAGATAAAGGAAAGGACAGGACAATGTGTGACATAGAAAGCCAAGGACAAGACAATGTGATATAGATAAAGGAAAGGACAGGACAATGTGCGACAGAGAAAGGCAAGGACAGGACAATGTGATATAGATAAAGGAAAGGACAGGACAATGTGTGACAGAGAAAGGCAAGGACAAGACAATGTGATATAGATAAAGGAAAGGACAGGACAATGTGTGACAGAGAAAGGCAAGGACAGGACAATGTGATATAGATAAAGGAAAGGACAGGACAATGTGTGACATTGAAAGGCAAGGACAGGACAATGTGTGACAGAGAAAGGCAAGGACAAGACAATGTGATATAGATAAAGGAAAGGACAGGACAATGTGTGACAGAGAAAGCCATGTAAAGAACAATTTGTGACATAGAAAGGTGAGGACAGGACAACCAAAAGGGAAAAATATGGTCAAGTGGAAATAAAAGGTTTCATTACTGAGGACTTCCAGCTCGGACATCCACTTGGTTTACAAGTGGATTACTGAAATTAATTTAGCGATAGCAGATGAGTAAGCTTGCTAAATGGGTCTAATATTTTGAAATGTGAAAGGAACACATGACTGGTGGTGAGATGATACAGGTTAAAATTAAAAAAGCATTCCACTAGTGACAGCATATGTTTGAGACAGTCACCTGTCCATTGCATTTACGATAGTAATCCATTTGTAGTGTTTCTGTCACTGACAGTCACCCTTCTGTAGTGTTTCTGTCAGTCACCCTTCTGTAGTGTTTCTGTCGGTCACCCTTCTGTAGAGTTTCTGTCAGTCACCCTTCTGTAGTGTTTCTGTCAGTCATCCTTCTGTGGAGTTTCTGTCAGTCACCCTTCTGTAGTGTTTCTGTCAGTCACCTGTTTTTAATGTTTCTGGGTTATCTGTCTAGGGTTTATGAGAGTCATCTGTCTGAAGTGTTTGTGACAGTCACCTGTCTTAAGTGTTTGTGACAGTCACCCTTCTGTAGAGTTTCTGTCAGTCACCCTTCTATAGTGTTTCTGTCAGTCATCCTTCTGTGGAGTTTCTGTCAGTCACCTGTTTTTAATGTTTCTGGGTTATCTGTCTAGGGTTTTATGAGAGTCATCTGTCTGAAGTGTTTGTGACAGTCACCTGTCTGAAGTGTTTGTGACAGTCACCTGTCTGAAGCGTTTCTGAATTATCTGTCCGGAGTTCGTGAGAGTCAATCCTCCATTGTGTTTCCAAGTCACCTGTACATAATGATTTCATGGCATATTTCTGATGAAAGATGATGGTCATTAAGAGATACAAAAATCTATCTATCAGCTAAAATGTTGTCGAAAACCTATTCTGTACACGTATGGAATGCCTCCTGAAAGTGCAGTATTACAGCAACACACTTTCCTATATACTTTGTTTAAACACTTCTATAAAGTCATGTTAACACTACTCACTTGGTAACCCTGCCAGCACTGAAGATAAACAAAGACAACATCAGTCTACTACACAACAAATTTCTCTCTTACTCTCTCCAATCTCTTTTGAATTATTTCAATCTTTTATCAAAATGGAATACACATCATTGTTATTTCTTCAGAATATCAGTATTAGGTTGAAATTCACTGTCTCGAAATGGCTTAAGTTAAAATTTTGTTTAAGTCAAAATAATAACCAGCTATCAAGTTTTTTTCCTTCTTAATCTTTGTAATCTTCGTACGGATGACTCAAATTTCCTTGAGGTAAAATTTTGTTTGTGGCAAATTTCTGTTTGAGGGGAAATGATTTTTCAATCTCCTCAAGCATGAGAAAAGCCATTTGTCGGCTCGAAATTAATTTTTGTTAAATCATTGACACATCTAAATATATAGATAAATACAAACAGAATCAAAAGTCACCTGTACGTAACATATGACTAATTACAGTGTATCAATCCATAGCACACACAAAAGTTGATCTCTGGGAATTAATTACCAGTAAAATTACCCAAAATAAGCCGCCTTCTTAAATAGTGTCACTGTATTGTAGCAGTGACCTACCTGTACATTAAACAAGTAGAGTGATTACACATGGCATAAAAGCTGCTCAGCACGAGAGCAGAATCATGTGAGGTTAGCTTAATTGTGCACATCTTTAGGAGCGATAAAAACAAAAGTAACATATATTGGTTGACACTTGGAGTTGCGATGCTTTCAACATAAATAACTAGCAATAACTTAATTCTCGAGAAGATGGGTAAAATGTGTATGTATAATGTCACTCAGGTCTTTATAAGGTCTTCTGTAACAGGTAAAATATTTCAATGCTCTTTATTTCACATGTTTATCCAAATATAAACATGATTTTTTAGCTAGAAACTTGTTTTTAGTAGTGTGTCACAAGCAAAATTTTAGTTTTGCTGACATTCCTTAAACATAAACCCTATATGTGCTTTGTCAATAAGGAAAAACTGTACATGTGTGAAATGGCACCAAATGAGTAGTTGATTGCTATTGTTACCACATATTTTGTTATTTAGACAAATAATGGAGTGACATGTATGATAGTCGGTGTTTCATTCACTAGTAATCAATGTAAAAATGTTTTCAGTGGTCCCTTTAATTTCGAGGTAACATGTTGCAACTTTTTATTACACTTTTGAAAACATAATTTTGTCTACATGAAGCAACCAAATGAACACACTCCTAACTGTGACTGTAATTTTCTTTAAAACCTACAGTAATTTTAATGTTAATCTCTTGTTTTTTTGTAAGCTTTTTGTATAATTGAGAGAGCCCAAAATTTGACATGAAAAAAAAAATGAATTTCTTGTCCTTTTCATATGAAAGTCACCAAAAAATGCACCGCCAACAACATTATCATTCTAAGCAATTTTAGGTTCCTCCCCCCCACCCTCCCCCACCCCATATGTTTATTTGATTTACAGGAACAAAGGTGTTCGATTAATTAATATTTTGATTTTGATCAAATCTGGAACAGAAAACGTTTCCTTCAACATTTTATGTCAATAAATTAAAGATTTTGACAAGTGACAGATGGCGATTATTCCATTTACTAGCTAACACACAACTTGATCTTCTGAGATGGAATCTGTGCTCAGATGAAATGAAACTGCTGTTCATAAAAAACAGGTATGAAAACCATCTAAACCTGGGTACAATTTGTTGTGGAGATGAATGAACACTAACATGTGCAGCGACAGGAATAAACATGTAAAATGTGACTAAATCACCAACAACATCACACAATTTAGAACATCTTGTCAAAGCTTTCAGCAACAAACAGTCTGAGAATGAGTGAAACATGCTTGCAACAAGATGAAAACAGGCTTCAAGTTTTGTGGTATGTAAGAACATAAACATACATTTTGCCACTTATGGGAGATACGACAGTCATTACTTACCCACGGAGCTGCATCACTGGGTTATCTTTGTTTGTGGTGAAGTCAAGGCGACGCAAATAACGTTCCTTGACATAGTAAAGAATGTTGTTATGGACTGCATATGCTGGGCGTTCACGCTCTAGTTTGAAGATAAGCATGCCGCTGTCATGGCCTGCAGCGAAGATGTTGAGGTTTGGGTGGGCAGCCATAATCCAGAATCGGTCATGTTCACGTCGGAAGGTCTGAACACCGGTTCTAGAAACAGTTAGGAATATGACCATGTTACAAGTGTTACAATTATTAATTTGTAATAGTCTGAACAAGTAAAGGATATTGTAAAATAATGTTTTCATGGTGCTCAATTTACATGGTTTTTCTAGAAATCACTATTTCACTAACAGCTGTAATTAGCTCAGAGAAAGTAACCTTTTTAAAACTGACTAGAAATGAAAAGGCACCTAATACTTATTAGGCTAAACATACTCAATACGCATAGCCTATTGCGACGGCCTTTTAGACAAAATTTACTGATCCTGGCCCTCTCATTGGCTGAAATATCGAAAAGAGTTAGAGCCCTCTAGCATCAATTTTCTGCGTAAATAATGCCGCGATTTTTCAAATCGCTATTTTAAAAGCATCCAAAATTAGTTTTGTTTCTAAATAACAATACAATTACTATATATTTAAAAACAGAAGCACAGTCTGGTTGAACTATTGATAAATTTGAAACAACATATTTTACGGAATTCTTGACATGACGTAAGAGTACAGAACACTGTACGTGCGAGTTGGCGCCATGATAAGAAGCTAGTTTGGGGGTTTGGTTTGATTTTTATTTTGTATCAGTGATTAGATATACTACATTTCTTGCATTTTCCTACCTTTTACTCATATCCCATACACGGATACTCTTATCCTCAGAGTTACTTAAGATAAGTTCCTGGCGGGGATGAAACAGACAGCTTGACACATTGTTGTAATGACCACGACATGTGTCCACTTCCCATGCTTTTGACTCTGAAAATAAAAAAAAAATTAAATAGACACGAAATTAAACTGCTGCTAACAGCTACCATGAAGTTTCTTTTTCATGGTGACTTGTTTTATCACCAAACAATGTTGAATGCTACCCCTGATACTGTCATTGACAGGAAATTGAAATGAAGGTTAAAAAAACACTTCCAATGGGAACATTTTTTAAAATAATGAATCTTTACTTTTTAAGTTAAATAATTAATGTGCAACAGGTACCATTCATTCTCCAGAGTTTCACTTGTCTGTCATCAGCGGCTGATACAATGAGGGGAAGTGTAGAATGGAAAGCAGCCCAATTCACTCCACGGTCATGCCCTTCTAGCACATGCTTCACCACTGCATCTGACATACCAAACAGGTCAGTCTGTCCTGGACTCCTAGAGCGTTCATTTATGCCTCCCGGACCCGGGGCAACATTCTTTTTTCTCAATCCTGTACAAGAGAAACAATGGTTTGTCAAGTTAGGGCTCAAACCTAGCTAATCGTTGAACCACGACGTAATTTTAACCATCAGACCCGTTTCCACTACAGGAGATTCCAGATAAATTATGGCATCCATCATGATAAAACCTACATTGATTCTGTGTAATTTGGATCTGCTGCATTCTAGGATTGAGTAATGTCATGACAGAAAATAATTTTTTATATCATACTTAATTGTACTTCTGTGTTGGAAAATGTCCTTTCAAAGAGAAAAAACAAGAAGTTGAGGTATGCTTCGTGAATTGAGTCACTGATCTGATGGTCAGTCTCAAAATTTAACATTTACGTTTAACTTACCAGAGTTAAATACTACATTTAAAACAGTTTTCCCATCACTAGTACATCATCTATGATATTTCCAAACAACCTTAACGAAAATGTGCAATTTGAATTTGAGAAAAACTCTCCCGTTCTTCTGTAAAATAGTAATAATAAAGTTCAATTGTTAAATGATTGCCTTGCGGCCATTTCGTTCTTTCAGTTACTCTCAAAAATTTTTAATTTAAATCAAAGTATGGACTATAACAATGGAGATAAGAGAGTGTACATGACAAAACCTATTCTATGCTGGCTGGAACCATGTGTCAGACCTAAATTTGTTACGGTTCAGTGATTTTATTACAAACTGTCATTTGTTACAACTGTTTCTTTTATTAGATGAACCTTTTCTCAAACAGATTTTTCCACAACATATATTTTGACTAAATCTGAATTTCAAATGAAGACACAAATAAAACTATATTTACCAGAAATATCCCAAACACGGACGGTCTGGTCGAGGGATGCTGACACAATCAGATCCTCCGAAGCATGAAACATTGCACACATTACAAAGTGGCTATGACCGGCCAGGATGCTACAACAGATTAAAAAGCAAAACACTGATGAGCCTTCAAGATTTTTGACTGATATATAACATTAACACCAACAAAGTAAGTCTGTACAGTTCTACCCTGTGCACAGTAGATAATTATTATACATAAAGATCTAATCAGACATTTTATAGCGTAACTGAAAATTGTGCTCTCATGTCTTCTATTAGGTTCTACACCCTGGTGCTGTAAAAGTCTCATGTCTTCTATCAGGTACTTCTATTTTAAAGGTTGTTGTATCAGTTGGTTCAAATTTCTGTGATATTACTAAAACCTTGAAATAAGAGGGAAATACATGAAAGTAATGAAATGGACCTTCATTTTATGTATGACACTGTATCTTTGATATCAAGGTACTGTAGATATTCGGCCATTGTGAACACTTGTGTTTAATATTATACATGCATATTTACACCATAAATTTTTCTAAACTTTATTACATCCTTGAAAACAGCAAAAAAAATTAATCCAATGAAAATTTCACAATAACTGCTAAAGCCATTTTATCACATCAAAGAAATAATGTAGATGGAGAAGAAATCCAGTCATATAAACAAAATGCATTGTTACATGTTATCTATTCAACAGCAATATAGTATAAAAAAAAACAATAAAATAAACAGCCCAGATATTAAAATATAGCATTCTTTTACTGTTCAATTATTCATACCAAACTTCAAGCTTTGATAATTAACTAGACATTGAAACGACATACAAATTTTTCACTAGTTGTGCTGTAACATCATGAACCTATATTGACAAACACTTGACAACTTGAAGAAACTGTTTCAGAAGAATTACAAGTGAAGCCAGTGTCTGTAACAATACATACCATACACAGCTGCGTGACTGCCAGTTCCATATCCGGATAGTTTGGTCATCTGAGGCACTCAGAATCCAGGGATATTCCTAGAGGAAACAAATTGTTACATTGCTATTCTGAGATGATGTTCTTAATTTCATAATTATCAAATGTTCTTGATAATTTCCTGATAACCAGACTTCCTGATGAGGACATGTTCTTAATATTTAACCAGAAAACAATTTAATCCCTTGTTATATCATCTGAATCCAGGTTGACAGAACACTTATCCAATTGCAGACATCCTGTTTCTCCCACCTCTACCCATGTAGGATAGACATGTCCCATGTGGAACACCCATGGAGGATAAATCTATCCGTTTGCAGGTTCCGTAATGTGCGACTGTAACATCACAGTTAACAATCCTTGTCCAGTGAACACAAATAAACGTCGGAGGATCATCTATGACTCTGATTCTGAATGAATACACGCTTGACACTTACACCATTGCAATTTTTCGCGCGCATAAACAATTGACGTCATTATAAACTGGGAAATCCCCTTTTTGTCCATGACATCGCGGCAAGCCTACCCTAACTTAATAAATGTACAGCGTTAAATGTTGTTCAATACAAGTATTTCCATGTATCTATCGCTAATTAAAATATTTAATTTCCATAAAATAAATATTTCTAATGGTTATTCATATTGCGTTTGTAGTCTGTCATTTTGCTCTCGCGGAAGAATGTAGAATTTTGGAAACGTGAATGGTGATATTCATGCGACATTCAGACACTTGTACTGTGGGATTTTTTTTTTTTTTACGTCATGGCGGAAATAATGGGGTGGGAGAAAAATAATCAACCCCTACCCTCATAGGATGTGACAGAGAAATCTCCAACCCTCGGGGTGATTTTTTTATAGTCTAACCCTCGGCAGAGCCTCGGGTTAGACAACCACAAAAATCATCCCTCGGGTTGGAGATTTCTCTATCACACCCTCAGGGTAGGGGAAGATTCTATTAATCATGTATGATTTGGATAACTTTCCTCAAAACACTGAATTTCCTAAATTTCTGAGATCATGTTATTTCTTCATACTGGATACATTTATTGTTGTTTTAAGTTACATCAAAGTTACATAAGTTTCAAATGGAAAACTGATGTCAGTACAGTAAAAAGAACCTGCTTTGAAGGAAGTTAAGCAACCAAGGCTTTAAAATTGTATTTAAGTGTAAAACAGGTTTATTTTATCACACACAAATTTCACCATTTTTAGTCAAAACCAAAACATCTAAATTCAGCCATGTCATATTTAAATTTGCATATCATAAAGAAAAGTAAATAACACTACAAGTATATAATGGAACTCTGTATGATAAAAATATTCCCAGTTAAATTTTTGTTGTTCAATCTAATAAAAAAAAAAAAACAAATTATGCAGAATTTGACAGTTGGACGAAAGAGAATGTCTGGGACTAACAGTGAGATTATTTGATTTCAAAGCCAAAATTAAGTGGAAGTATTATATTGTATTTCAATCCAAGAATTATCTAAATTCTCTTAATTTGAAAGGAATTTGTTCAGTAATAATGTAAAGGCAAGAAGTGTAAGGCAGGTAACTCAACAAAACACAAGTACACAAGTCTGGAGTAGTTGCGCTAAAATAGCTAGAATATACCAACATAAAAACTTACATGATGGAAGTATGTAGTTCTGATGTAGTCCTGGTGGCCAAGAAGTGTAAATAGGCATCGTCTCTGTTTGTAGTTCCATACCTAATAACATATTTCAAATACTTCACTACAGCAACAGATAACAGACGAAAAAGTCTCAACTCCTAATATCTATCATTACTTTATCTAAAAATTATATCTACCTTTAATTTTGTTTAAATTGCCAAGAAAATTGTTGGGGCTTCCTTTATATCAGAATGATTCAGTCTTAAGAAGTGTCAAACTTCTTTTTTATAAAGAACTAAGAAATAAGGTAAAATAAAATCCAAATTACTATCCCTTTAAAATAGTGGTAGTACCACATTTAAAGACAAAATACTGAGACAATTAATCAATAGGTACACTAAATATTATCATCTATCATATCTATCATAACTAGATGGTAAATCTGTACAAACCTTAATCTTATAGTCATCACCACCTGACACAAACAGAGGTTGTTGTTGGTGGAAACAGATCCCTCTCACAGGTCCTGATATCACAAAACTCAAATATCAGCTAAAATCTGTAGATTCTAACTTACTTTATATTCAAAACATCAAATATCTAATTGTTCCATCGTATACATTTTGTTTCATAATTTTCCCTTCAGTTAAGAATAGGCAAGTGAAGTTTATTGTAACTGATAATGATCATTCCATTTATCCAATTTCCAGTGTACTTTATATTACTAGTCATATATTCTCCAGCATTTACCAACATATACATGATCAACAATTTTTCAAGGTTCCATGGCCTATTAAAAAATGAAAGCCATTTTGCACAAAACACATCAATTGGGTTTTTTTTCAATGATTGTGTAGTTTATTTGTATCATTTTTCCCTTAATATTTTAAGTATTGATAAAAAAATAATGATGTTAATATTTTAGGTATGTAAGATTTCAAAGTTTTACTGAATACATGTACACACATACCATCGTGCTCATCAAATTTGTCTATGAGTGTACACATTCGATAGTCCCATAACTGGATGACCCCATTGAACAAGCTTGCTAGGACCCATGGCCTTTTAGGGTGAAAGGATAAACCTGTAAGTAAATAAATTGAAACAATATTATGGAGAGTTAAATCATCAAATGAATTTCTGATATTGCAAAAAAACCAAATGTGAACAGACCTATTACCAGGTACAGCTTTCTCCAGTAGCTGATTCATCAGGCTATGATTTATTACAAGTATTTAAAGACGTTTCATAGCATTTTAATATAATTAAATCCAAACAAATATATATGTAATGCGGTCAAGAAATGGGTAAAGTTTAATGCCAAATCAGGAACTTTGTGTAAGAGAAAATGCCTTTCTCATATGTGTATTGGGCTATGCCAAAATTATGACACCTATTAAGCTGTATATGTGAAAAAGAACTTAAGTGTTTCTAGTCCAAACAATCCCACATTTGAGTAACAAATTGACAACTTGAAAAAGTAATTGTCACTCAAATGTAGGACCGTTAAGCATACACAGGAGTGCACAACCTGGCAAAGTTGATAACCACATCACAGGTAAATTAGGTGGTAGTGTTATAGGGGACTAATAAAGGAACATTTGCACGTAGCAATTTGGTATAACAACAGGCGTATTTAAGTGTGGTAAAATCTGTTCTAAATAAATGGTATGTGAGTTTGGAGGTACAGACTTTTTCTTGCTGTTTCAAGTGAGTTTTCAACCTTTCCAAGATGAAAAAATGTATAACGACAGAATCAAAACTGGAACAAAAATGCAGTAAAATCCAAAATTTGAGATCTCTGTGACAATCATTTGATATCCATCAATCAAAATATTCTTCACATAGAGATCTACGGTAAAGTTTCGAAACAAATACGAAATTTTTCTACAGGTACAGGAGCATCGGCAAATCTAGCTATATAGCCAAATATACCGTTGCTCCAGATATTCATCTTATGTTATTAATCAAAACGAACATTTTGCATGTGTTTAGCCTCCTACACGAGAGCAATTTATACTGGAAATCCATAACATCTGCTCAACCTAGATGATGTTAATCTTAGTCAAGAGCATACTTTTTAGAATTCCAACAGGTCAAATAATGACCTGGACTGACTGTTATTTTTCTTCTGAATTACAGACAGCACATTTGACGTTCTGGAACTTCTGATGATTTCCCCTCTTTAATGTCAAATATATCTAAGAGCATTTAGAATAGAATAACTCTATTTATTTTAACCATTCTAGTTTACCTTTTACCCTGGCAGACTTCGTTTCAAATTTCGTTAGCATGTTTCCATATGTTTTTGACACAGAATAATGAGATACTTGCACGCCGGCTAAATATCTCCACCGTGGAAGTAAAATGGCAGGTTACACGTAAACCGGAAGTTGTTTTGGAACGTTGAATTTGATTGGTCGATGTGGGGGAGGCCTAAATTCAGAAGTGGACAACAGAAATGTTCTTACAAAAAGATAAACATTCCACCAGGCTTAATACATCACCTCAGATAATCTAGGAAAAAATTAAAAATCTGACAGGCAGCAGATATATAAACTGCCTGACGTTCTCAAAATATTAATTATTGTGAATCGTGGTATGCCATACATATTCAATCAAACTTTATTTAGTTTACAACAACTGTGAAACCCACTTATGTTAATCAGCACTCGAGTGTATTAGCAATGTGATCATCCATTAATTAATATAACTACTTCTGTATTTCGTTAACGAAACATGTAATATTGACTATTGACACATTGTAAGCTACAGCAAGGACATATAATACGTCCCTGGCTACAGACATAAGCTATATTAGCATGTTTTGACGTATTGGCATTCATGTACCTGAGGCAAATGTCTTTCATGTATAATGTATATATTGCATGGGCACTAAGTTTGCATGGCCTTACAAAAAGTGATATTTTACTGTTTATCCAGCTCTCTGTGATGTATGATCTCATTATGATGTGTTTAGTATAGTATTGATGTTAATGGTTATAAGAATCGCTTTACTGAGCTGAAGTTGCCTGTTCATAACATGACTTAAAAGAAAACGAAATTAACTTGTACATATGCCGATAACTAGAGAACAATGAATCGTCCTATGGGACTGCATTGTCAGCATAGTGAAAAAAAATCACAAATACATTTACATCTCATACCGTTGACTTTCAAAGTAGGAACTATTTTAAACCAACTTCAAAAACAATCAAGCTCACCATCCAGCGTTAGATATTATTAATCTGAGTAAAATAATGAAAGAAAGAAAATACTTACCTTTTATATGGGTCAAGGTCATTTCAGCGGTAACTTTTGTCTGGCGTCATCCAATGAACCCTCTCTGCAGAGTATCATGGTTCTCTGGCTTTTGGTTATTAGGAATAATAAGTCGTTTGAATGTTTTAACATATTTGACCATGTAAGCCTCAAAATGGACCAAATTAAGTGTCATTTCTTTCTACGTTTTTCCTCTGTCGGATTCATCCCACATTAACTTACAAGTGATTCTAGACCTTTTTGTTAATCACAAGAAGTTGCTTGAGTGCACTGATAAATTGGCCCACGTTACCTTTACATGTGAACCAAGGTCATTCCTAGGCTTGTTGTGCTTCGTAAAAGAAATCTACTAGTTAAACCAAAGTCGTTGACGTTTTTGTACAAATTTGACCCCTAAGGCATTAATAAAGGTCATAATAATTTCCTTTCGCAAATGTCGTTTGGTTTCATTCTAGAAAGTTTCCATCCAAACATAATGATTCTTGGCATTTTGGTTACTGAGAAGAAGTTGTCTATCCCTTAAGGAAATAGTTGCCCCCGAACGGACGACGGCAGCCACACCTTGTCATAAGCTAGTTTCACTAGGCCCTTCTTATCTGATGAAACTATCGGCCCTACCGTTCATAGATATACATATATGCCGACACAAATCTTGCTAAATGAATGTAAGAAACATACCCAAAACTACAAATTGGTTCGGAAAGAGTGTAACACAGACCTATCTTGTTGTAGACACAAGCGCTGGGTAAATGTTTCAAGGATTTGGTCCAGTTCGCTATGGTTTATGGTGAAACAGACAAAAAGTCTACCAAAGGCCTGGACATCAGTGTCGCCGATTTTCGCCAGACAAGTTAAGTCACCGCATGTGACAAGTTAGGTTAATAAAGGACTCTAACGCTAGTTGAGCCACCAGGTGAGGAAAGTCTTAAAGTCATTCAAAAGAACCGGTTAAGTATGAACACATAGAACCACACAAGATGTGAAATCCTGGTGAAAGCAAGCACCAAACAAACATTTAGCCCGCAGAACAGACGATGATTCCCCAATGTACGCACAACACCGTATAACATTTTATGAAGTATTGCCTGCTGTTAGTTTTAAGGTCGCGGTCTCAAGAGACCAATTATAATCGCCTTTTGTCTGTCGTCATGCGTCCGTAAACAATTAAAACAAAGACTTCTTCTCACGCGAACCAATAGAATTTTGGATGGAACCCTTACTTCATTGGTCAAAGACGCATCAAAACATTTAGTTATATGGTTCTGTGAGAGGCGTAACAAAACGGCTCAAACTTGCTTGAATTTCATTAATGTTCTTTTAATTAAGAATTAAGAATTAATTAATTATGCTGGAAACCAACAATTTTCGTAAATGCTGGAACGGTCCTAAGATATGTATCAAACAAGTTAATTTTTCCCGGGCTCCCGGGCTCCACGTTTGACCCTGTGAATTTTGCTGCAGGTTATATCGGAAACTGATACTTTTGGGTATATTTTGTTCATTTTCAATTTGATGTCATTCAGAGTTGACTGGTATTGTAACCATGAGATGACATTTTGGTACTATGATAATTTTGACCCTTGTCTTTCCCCCACAGATTATGGTGTCATATTGACTTAAAATTCAACACTTTTCTTCTCCCTACTAACTTAAGCCGAAACAAATATTCTTCATAGATGAAGAGGTCTTGAGGTTTTTACAAAATATTGATTGAAATTTAACAAATTTTCTTCTTGAGATCCAGCTATGTTGGAATCAAATCATGCTCTATCAAATTGGGCATTTCGTGACCCCAGGATCTCGCGATTCTCCCGAGGAAAGGGTAAAGTTTACTTTGATTTATATAAGAAAATACGAATTTGGACACAATTGTTAAATTTTCATCTAAAACAATTCAAACCATGTTTAGTTATAGGTTTTCTGTCTCCGTAATTCCTTCCGTTGCCGGGTACTCGTCTCATGGACGAACATCAGTGTTCTGGCGTCGTGAGGGGGCGACATGCAACCCCTCTGAGGGGTGGAACCGTCTGTAGCGGTGTGCGTTTGATTATGCTAGTTTTAGGAGATGACTCTAGGACCTGTTAATGTCTTATCCTAACTCTAGCAGTCTGAAACATATAAAGAAGTGGATGAGGGATTAAGAGTCTACAAAGATTTGGTTTAGGTAAGGGTAATTTTGAGGTCCGTCTAATGCCTATAAAAAGTGTTACACTATCCCTAAACCTCTGGGCCGGCGTTGGCACGCCTGCTCTTTTTCAAAAAGCTAGAGGGATCTTTTGTTTGAATGTCGCTGCAATACTGAAAATTTCAGACATACCTGTAACTTATCACAGTTGGTTTTATCTTCAAAGTAAAAGAAATCCAAATGAAAATCAAATCATTAAAAACAAAAGGCAAACAAACAAAAATAAAATCGCAAACTGCATATTACGCCTGTTTTAACTTCCAAGAAAGCATGAAAATGTTAATATGTTACAGGACATGTGGTATAATATTTATAACAGTTGGATTGATGGGAGTTGAATAAAACTAACATAATGGTAGACAGGTAGTTTCTTATCCCTTTGTATTATACGTTCGTGTATTAAAGTAATAATTTAACTAAAGTGAATGAAATGCTCAATCCGATTTTCTTTCAAATCGAAATTTCGCTCTGAAAGTTAATGAAAGTATGTTAAGATAATAAAACGTGCAAATAAAGAACTGAGAGGGACTAAGATGCCCGGACAAAGGACTACGATGGACGGACAAAGAAGTACGATGGACGGACAAAGGACTATGACGGACGGACAAAGAACTGCGATGGACGGACAAAGGACTACGATGGATGGACAAATGACTATGATGGACGGACAAAGGACTACGATGGACGGACAAAGAACTACGATGGATGGACAAATGACTATGATGGACGGACAAAGAACTACGATGGACGGACAAATGACTATGATGGACAGACAAAGAACTACGATGGACGGACAAATGGCCATATGCGTCCTGTACCAGTAATTCGAAGTCTCCATGCGAACCATATTGCAGATCTTCAGCAGTTGAAAATGTGACAAGAGTAAATATGAAGGGTGAGTATTTTTGTAACATGACAAAACAAATGCCATGTAATACTGTCACGGACTTAGTTATAAAATCTATCTCAGTCCGTTGGTGTTACAAGCTTTCCAAATGTATTACACGTATCAATACAGTATAAATGTTAGGCCAAGATTGTGACATCATTGTTTTAACATACACATGGTTGTTGTTGATTTTGAATGCCTTTTTGGAAAAATTAAATTTGAATATGTAGATCACTGCTGGAAAATGAAAATAATGATAAAATAATTAAATAATAATAGATGTGACATCAACCGTTGTTTTTGCACCAAGAAGCATACTTCGTTCCGGCATCAACAACACCAGTATGTTAACTGGTAGGCTCAATAGTAGGTGGTAAATGTAGAACAGCCTATAAAATCCCCCGCTATCGTGATCATTTCTCACGCGATTGTAATGTCTCTCGTTTTATTACACAGCCGAGATTGTCAAGTCGATGCGATGAACTTTGCTTTTTTCACCGCCCCCTCACTTTTGCAACCGGAACTAGAATGATGTCACCCCAAGGTAGATATCCTGTGACGTCACACTTATGGAAAGAGGCTGCCATTTTCTTTTCATTCAGCAAGGTAAATTTTACTATCACCTTTGTAATTCTTATAATTGGTACTTAATTACCTTAAATTTGTGTCATTCTGTCGTAGATACATGCATGAAGGGACCAATCAGTTTGTTTATTTCGTCCCCAAGTGCCCAGAAAAGGTAAAACCCTTTCGTCTAAAGCCGGAGCGTAAGACTTAGGCTTACTATATGATCTCTCCATCACAAAAATATAGGGCACCGGCTCGTTCGGTGCGGTACGATTCCTCGTCCGTCACTGGCGAATGGGCAGGTCACAGTTCATCTTTTAAGTACTCGAGTGAACGATGGTTGCAACTTTAGAGGGTTGTAGAATTGTATGAACATGTTTAAATATAGATGTTTGCGTTGAAATGTAATTAGGTCTTGCACATGTCACTGGCTCTTTAACACGCG